GCCGATGGCGTGGAGCTGCTGGAGGGCAAAGCATAGCTCCTCGAGATGGTCGGTGAGAATGGCGCCTCCGACCTTGACGACGGCGAACTGGTGCGGCGAGACGGAGCGGAATTGGCCCAGGTACTGGTCGACTTCGCGGCGGGAGCTGGAGCTGGCCAGCAGGTTGAGGAAGGCGGCGTAGATGGACGAGTTCCTGCCATCCTTGGACGTTGTGTACAGGCGGCTGCTCGGCGTCGTGGTAGCAACGAGGGCGCGGGAGAGGGCTCGAGGAGTCTGCGATGCGAGGGCGCGATGCGAGGATCGCGCAGCAGCCACACGGCCGGCTCGTACAATGCTCTGCATGGTGACTCTGTCGCTCCCAAGAAGCAGTTGCTTGCTACTCGGGCCCTGGGCGACTTTGATCCAACGCGATTGAAACGGTGACTAAACTGTGGAGCCGAGGGGACCTTAAGAAAGATGCTTTGGTATGACGCCGAAGCAACAAAATTCGCTCCGCCGTTATCGCAGCTTCCCCAGATGACAGGGTACTGGCAGCTGGAGTTATCCTAGCGCCACCACCGCCCATGGCCACTGCTGCATGCAGAATAGCAAGCTGCAGATCAGACTTTTCAGTTCTCATTCATGCATGCCGTGCCTCGTACACGGTGCGCATTAGGCTTGTCCTCGACTCAAATTTTCAGTCATCCATCGCAAACGGGCCTTTCCGAGGTTAATCGTACCACTCCACCTTCAACACGGTGGACACTAGAGCGCAGTAGCACTCCATTAGTACCCACTCGACAAAGCATCTGATAAGACGATTCAAAAAAAGAACTAATGCATTCACGTCAGGGCTAGTCAATCGAGGCATAAGGTGCAATTGCAATAAACTATAGACAGCAACCCACAGTGTATAACTCCGTTTGCTCGTCTGACGACCATGCTTGGAACTTGGGCTCTCGTGGTATATCGTAACAGGGGCGGAGCGTTCCATGCAAAGGGGCTTTCCGTGATTGCAGCACGACCGTCGGAATGCAAAAAAAGACTGGAATGCTCAAGACACATCCTACAGTGACCCATGTCGTTGATCGTAGTGCAGCTCGTAGCCATTCGTCCCCTTCCCCAATGGCTTGACAACCTCCCCCCATCCGCGCAATTATTAATGTGTATGATTCGTGGTATCTCGTGTGGGTGGTTTAGTTCTTTTGCGTGGCAACGACTGGTCCATGTTAGCAACACGAACAAGAGTACAAGCTGCTCGACAAACTCACCAGAAGGGACAATAATGACGATGAGCAGGATGATGATGCCAACAATCAGGCACATGCGCATCTTCATGTCCTTCCACCACATCTGCTTGCGCACGCGGTTGGCGCCCCTTCGGAAGCCTTGGGCGGATACGGCAAGATTGTCCGTCTTGTCTTGTAGCGAGTCGAGGCGGGCTCCTCGCTCAGAGACCTTGTTGATGTTGTCCCGCATGATGCCAACGGTGCTGTCGATTTCCTAGTGCGAGTCAGTATATGAGGTCGCATGTCTTCCGCTGCTCAGAACTGCAACTTTGCGCAGCTACTGACGAGGCAGACAGAGGTTGAGAAGCACTCTGGTCGTCTTCGCATCATCGAGGCAAGCTCTCCACCAGCCACCGCACCTCTAACGCGCGGCTGCCTGATGAAGATGCGGATGCGACAAACGACGTAGCGCTTCACTCTGACTTATAAAGAGTAACAACATACCGCTTGGAGCGCAGCTGTGCGGTGGTTGCCATTCTGGCCGCCCTGCTGTCCGCCGGCGCCGCCGCTGGGGATGTAGGGGTCATATGGGGGGTCCTGGCTCGACATAGTTGGAGATGAGATGTGCTGGATAATGCTCGTAGCGTGCGACTTGCGTAGGCTTCAAAGGGTGGTGGTGGTGATGGGCAGGTGTGGGTGGTGAGGGTGGTGTCTGGAGGATGGAGATGATGGTGTGGTTGCCCAGAGCAAGACCAAGAGTCCGCTCAGCCCGGATGGCGAACGAGCGTCGCAATGTGTCAGCTCCGTTTGAGCAGTGAGGCTGATGTTTGCGTGAAACCTGGCGCAACAACACGGAATATTAATCTGTGATTGGCATCAAGTCGCTGTGATTATTCTTCATCAAGCTCAATAGCAACGGTTGTGTATTAACGGCTGTGACGGCATTCTGTTCAACTTGATGCGACACTGCCGTAGCTGCTTCTGGCCCACAGCACGTGATCAACACCAGCCTCACGATTACGAATGTCTTTCCATGAAGCAGCAGGTGCTGCACGATCCGCCATCGGTCCGTCTGCACAGCGGCTCGAGTAGACAACAACACGCCTTCTGCCACTTTCCTTGCCGTCGTCGTCGTTCAAAATGAACGTGGGACGCCTTTTTGCCTCAGCCTCGCTATTACGAGGCTAATCTTATTGTCTACCTTTCCGCAGCTGGCGTGGCAACACGACAATACGCCTGTTACGACATCAAGAGAGACGGTCCGGCTTTAAACAACATGTCCAGTGCACTAAAGGTAGCTTGCGCGCCTCCAGCAGAGCTTCGTCATCACCGTCATTGCCCGGCCGGACATCCGCATGCCTTGTTCTTCTTCTTGTTCGTTTTGTTCGCGCAACGAGCAGAGGTGGAGACCACGAGCAGAGGTGAAGAGCGTCTGCGTGGGCCGAGACACTTTATGCAACAGAAGAATCGTGCATTGTCGTCGATAGATTGTACCTGTCTCGCTAGCCTATCAATGACATCCCCCCCAGGCGTCAAGTAGGCCAGGCGCCGTTTGCACCTGGCAAGTGGGTCTGATCGCCGCCAAGACGCGTGTCCAATGTCTTGAATCTCGGGGTCTGCTACCCATTCGCCGCTCAGGAGTTCGCGCAACGCTTGCTCCACTGCCAGCTTCCTGTGTCTGTTTCCAGTTTCCTTTCTCTTTCCAACACACTCGCTGAACCCGTTCTTAATCGCCATTCACCTCTAGTTTACCGCCGACCATTGTGTCCTGCGCCTACCCCTGAAACCCGTCACTCGTTCCATACTACGTCAATCAACCCGACACTCCCTACGGTACCCCCACGTTCGAGCCAAGACAATTCTCTTGCCTGAAAGCTTGATCACTCCAACACTACTCCCTTTCGCGACGCGCGCAGAGTGTATCCAAGCCTGGCGCTGGACCTTGGCGCAACATGAAGTTCACCTCTGTCATCGGCGCTCTTGGCGCCTCGAATCTACTATTCACAAGCGTAGGCGCCGTTGAATTGGACATCAACTCGCCAGGTGGGACTTTCGAGTGCAAAACATAGGCGGAATACATGTATTGACATCTACAGACTCCATCAAGCAAGCCGCCAAGGCAATTTCTGCAAACCTGCGGTCGTACTATACTGGTGACAATGTAGGCGACACACCAGGCAATCTTCCAGACCCATACTACTGGTGGGAATGTGGCGCCATGTTTAATGCTCTCATTGACTATTGGTATTACACTGGAGATGACACGTACAACAAGATTAGTACACAGGCTCTAGAGGCTCAGATGGGACCAAACCAAGCTTTCATGCCTGACAACCAGACCAAGACGCTCGGAAACGATGACCAGGCTTTCTGGGGAATGGCCGCCATGGCTGCTGCAGAGAACAAGTTCCCCGATCTTCCCGACGGCAAGCCTTCTTGGCTGTCCCTTGCACAGGCCGTCTTCAACACCCAATACAAACGCTGGGACTTGACTACTTGCGGTGGAGGACTGAGATGGCAGATTTTCAGCTTCAACAACGGATACAACTACAAAAACACCATTTCCAACGGTTGCTTCTTCAACATCGCCTCGCGACTATACAAATACCTTGGTAACGACACATACGCCGACTGGGCTGAGAAGGCTTGGGACTGGGAGCTTGCCGTAGGACTCATGAGCCAGGACTACCACTACTACGACGGAACCGACGACACGCAGAACTGTTCCACCATTAATCACATCCAGTGGACATACAATGCTGGCATCCACATGGCCGGTGCTGCCGCCATGTGGAACGTGACACAAAACGACAAGTGGAAGACCAGGGTCCAGGGTATCATCGACGGAGTGAGCGTTTTCTTCGTAAACAAGGTCATGTCCGAAGTCGCCTGTGAAAACAACGGCAAGTGCGATGTGGACCAGCGCTCTTTCAAGGCTTACCTTGCACGTTCCATGGCATACACAGCTAGCGTTGCACCTTGGACCAGTGACCAAATCAATCCTTATCTTCAGACATCGGCTCAAGCTGCTGCTAAGCAGTGCACCGGAGGTGCTAACCAGACTTCGTGTGGGCTCAAGTGGACCACCAACGGTGTCAACGACGGCAGCTTTGGTGTTGGCGAACAGATGGCGGCTCTGGAGGTTGTACAATCGCTGCTGTATCCATCAGTCAGCGGTCCTGCGACGGCGGAAAAGGGTGGTATCTCCAAGAGCAATCCTGACGCCGGTGACACTTCATCTGATACACCCATCAAGTTCGATACCGTCACCACTGGCGACAAGGCTGGTGCTAGTATCTTGACCATCTTGGTCCTGGTGTCTATTCTTGTTGGTGCCTGGTGGATGGTTTCATAAACTTTATACCCGTCTTCACTTATCAATTCTGTTGAGGGATTTGGCATAGTGCTCTGTCGATTTTCTGGTCGTTCTTGGTCAAGTTTCTTCAAGGCGTTTCCAGGTGTGTGTGCGCGCGTGTTAGATTATATAGCCCAATCCGAATAATTTACATTCAAGCTGAGCATGTGATTTCTAGCAGTGCTCTGTAGAGAAGCTTGGAAAGCAAACCCGAACCAGCCACGGTTCGGCTAATAGCACGCTAGGGGTCTGTGCGTACGAAAGCTGCGCTCGACTCCTCTTTCCTTCTTCGCCGCGACAGAGATCTCTCACCACTCGACACACACACAACAACCGCGCATTCAACCCAACGACGACTTGCTCGCCTTGTTGTCGCCCATCGAAACTTCTGTCCTAATTCATACTTGACACTAGCTACTAGGTCTTGCGCACCTGCGATGGCCGCCCCTCCTGATCTCAACGCCATTCTGGCAGCGCTTGGTATGTCGTGCAGACTTTTACCAGCATGACAAGCACTGTACTAACTTCTCTCCTAGCTGCCGGACGTCCGTCGACTACCCCCTCCCAGACGCCCCAGCAGCCTCCACAGGCGCAACATCCCCCTCCCCAAGGACTCCCGCCAGGCTTCCCCGGCGCAATGCCTACTGCCACTCCGCCCGCTATGCCCGGATACAACTTCCCCCCACCTACCCACACTGGCAGTCTTGACCTTAGCGCTATCAAGCCCGTGAGCTCTGGCTCAGTCAGCATCCAGGATGCGCTGGCAAAGGCACGCGGCTTTGCGGCCCAAAAGGGCCTTGCACACGAACAAGCGCGTCCAGGTATTGCTGAGCCTTGGTCTGGTTATGGTGTCCCAGCGCAAACTTACACAGCTCCAGCTTATCAAGAAGACCCGCGATTAAGCGGACGCCAGCCCTACCGACGTTCGCGGTCGCGTTCGCGTTCTCCCGCGCGCCGCGAACCCGTGCGTGAAAGCTACAATCCATACCGCGATGAGCGCCGTGATGAACGTCGGGGTGCCTATGGACGTGAACGTGATCGCTCTCCTCCTAGGCGTGACACCTTCTCTCCTTCGCAGCAGTACGGGCAAGCGCGTTCGCCCCCTGCTAATGACAACTCTGAGGTGATTCTCATTGACTCTTCTTTGGTTGGCCTGGTCATAGGGCGTCAAGGTGAGAGTCTCCGCCGCATTGAACAAGAATCACAGACGCGCATTCAATTTATCAACGGCCCCGAGTCTGGACCTCAACGCGAATGTCGTATCACCGGTAGCCCGGGTGCTCGTATCAGTGCTAAACGCGAGATCAACCGTATCATCGAAGAGAATGGCGGCAATCCCGCTCGTGAGACTGGCCGCAATGCACGAGCTGCTGCTACCAAGATGGTTGGTCAGCAACAGCCCGCCCTTAGAGAGGGTGAACAATCTTCGCAAATCATGGTGCCTGATCGTACTGTTGGTCTCATCATCGGTCGTGGTGGTGAGACTATCCGTGATCTACAAGAGCGCAGTGGCTGCCACGTCAACATTGTTGGTGAAAACAAGAGCGTGAATGGTCTGCGACCTGTGAACCTCATCGGAAGTCCTACTGCTGCTGCCCATGCCAAGGAACTCATCATGGAGATTGTCGACAGTGACACTAAGCAAATGGAAGGCGGCGGCGCCGCACAATCAGCGCCACAACAACAATTCAACAATAGACGTGACAATTTCGATCCACACGGTGGAGGTGCTGCTGGCGGTGCCGGAGCCGGCAAAATCAACGACAGTATCCAGGTTCCCTCTGATGCTGTTGGCATAATTATTGGCAAAGGTAACAACACTACTTCGGACATGTTGAGGTTGACATATTAACAATCCACAGGCGGTGAAACCATCAAATCAATGCAGTCTGATACTGGTTGCAAGATTAACGTGTCTCAAGCTTCCGGCGCTGACATTGAGCGCGAGATTGGCCTTGTCGGAACCCGTCAAGCCATCGAGGATGCCAAGCGAGCTATCTGGGAGAAGGTGGATCAAGTGGTAAGTTTGTTCGCTGTAGGCGATGATTGCAGGTTGCTAATACGAGACAGCGAGAGAAGAACAATTCACGACGACGTGACAATGGAAACAACGACAACGGATACTCACATCAGCAGACACCTTCATATGGACAAACCGCCGCACCCGCACAGCAGCCTCAGGCGGCTGCACCCGCTGCTGACCCATACGCTGTCTATGGCGGCTACCAGAATTACCTTGCAATGTGGTATGCGTCCATCGCACAGCAACAACAGGGTGGTCAAGGAGCTCAAGGACCTCCAGGCGCATAAGCGCCACATAGTTGCCGTGACCGATGCACATCTTGCTGAACTTCGCCGAATGCTGCCTGTTTGCATGACCGATGCTTGGAATTTTGCTGCGCCTGGCATGATGCTCCGATGACCTGGACTATCTTCGATCTATTCTTGACTTGCGCGTAGCCGGACTCGCCTTGTTGCATGATATTTATGCACTGAGTGCTCATCCGTGGAGCTTCTTCTTCTTCTTCCGCCTGGGCTTACTGCGGCATAGCCTATGGCCCTTTCTACGGTCCGATATCGTCGTCGCTGCTATTGCGTTCGTGAGGTGATCATTACTTCATCTATGCTCTTTTATGGATGACTCCTGCAAGCCCTCAAGTCTGCACACAAGTCGATGGCTGTGCTTACTTTACGCCTGCTACGTCTTGATCGACAGTACATCATCTGCTCTCTTAGAGCTATCAGGCAAAGCTCGCCGTCTATGTCTGCATGTCTGTCATGATGCTGCAATTGATGCAGACTTCGTTGTGGACAGTACGCAGACTTCCATCACCAAAAGCGTTCATTGTCTTCATGCATATATACTCGCGTACGCAAGCCTAGGCTCGATTGCCACTTACAAAGTGTGGAGGAGGGCCTACGCCTGCTTTCGTTGGACATTGACATTGGCCTTGAATAGTCACGTTTATGAACGTTGGACTCGTTCAATCATCATTTGTATAGTAGTTCTCGAAAAATATAGTTGCTGTACGCAGCGGCTTCCAAGAAAATAATTACATCACTTTTGTTCCCCCACTGTGACGCTTCAGATGACAAGCACAGCGGCAATCTTAACTGACATAACACAGCCTAGCGAATTGTTCGGCACACTCCTTCTTTTTCAGAGCAGCGGACCTCGCCATACCAGACGGAGCAAACTGACGGCTCACGTGCCTATCGCGTCGCTGCGGGGTGGGGCTATGGAGGGGCAAGAACGCGACTACGGCCATCGGCGAGCTCCTGCACGCGGAGCATCTGCACCTAGACCGCGTGCGAAGATAAGACACAAACAAGTCGACGCTGATTCGTCCAGGTATTCTATCGATCAACTAACTCATGTAATAGATGTGCTCCATGCCGCGGTACACACGCTTGTTCATATCTAGCTTGCTTATTCCCCACAAGCACGTCGGACGGACAGGACCCTGAACAGCTAGACAGACGGGCAAGCCTGTGATACCAAGCAACCTTTGTGACATTTGTTTCCTTTCTCTCTCGTTCTCTCTCTCTTTCGCTATTCTCTTGCTCTGTTATCCATCTCTTCTGGCGTGTCGACACTTCTGGGTCTTGTTTTTCTTTTTTTCCACAAGAGACTATACAGCAAGGAGTGGCAAAAATGGCGCCTGGTCTCATTTCCCCCCAACCGGCTGTGTCAAACGATGCGACCAAGTCGCTGAACCAGGTCACGGCGGATTACGATGATACCCTCAGATTCTATCTGAATGGCACCAAGGTGGTGTTGGACACCGCGGATCCCGAGGTTACGCTGCTGGAATACCTGAGGGGAATTGGTTTGACGGGAACCAAGTTGGGATGTGCGGAAGGAGGGTGTGGTGCTTGTACTGTGGTATGTTTGACACAGAATTCCGAAACAGCAAAACGATCAGTTTTGGAGACTGACAAACTTGTTAGGTTGTATCGCAGCTCAATCCTACAACGAACAAGATATACCACGCCTCAGTAAATGCATGCCTTGCACCACTCGTCAGCGTAGACGGCAAACACGTTATAACTGTGGAGGGAATTGGGAACGTAAAGCGACCACATCCAGCACAAGAGAGGATAGCAAAGGGCAATGGCAGTCAGTGCGGGTTCTGCACACCAGGCATCGTCATGTCTCTATATGCTCTCCTTCGCAACAACGTTGGACCGAGCGAACTCGAGGTTGAGGAGGCGTTCGATGGCAACCTCTGTCGGTGTACTGGATATAGGCCGATATTGGACGCGGCACAGAGCTTCAGTGTGAAGTCGGGCTGCGCAAAAGCAAAGGCCAACGGTGGAGGGGGATGCTGTATGGACAAGGACGGTGCGAACGGCGGAGGCTGCGGCGGCGGTAAGAGCCTTGACGAGGATCAACCAATCAAGCGATTCACACCACCTGGGTTCATCGAGTACAAGCCAGACACAGAGTTGATATTCCCTCCACAGCTACGGAAACACGAGTTCAAGCCGTTAGCATTCGGCAACAAGAAGAAGCGGTGGTACAGGCCGACGACATTGCAGCAATTACTGGAGATCAAGGATGCATATCCGTCAGCGAAGCTCATTGGTGGCTCGACCGAGACACAAATTGAGATCAAGTTCAAAGGCATGAACTACAACGCCTCAGTGTTCGTCGGCGACATTGCGGAACTACGGCAATTTAAGCTCCATGATGATCATCTAGAGATTGGCGGAAACGTTGTTCTCACTGATTTGGAGGAGATATGCAAAGACGCTCTTGAGCATTATGGACCGATACGAGGACAGCCATTTGCAACTATCCTCAAGCAGATACGATATTTCGCGGGGCGCCAGATTAGGAATGTGGGTACGCCAGCTGGTAACCTCGCAACAGCAAGCCCTATCTCGGATCTGAATCCTGTGTTTGTTGCTACCAACGCGACGCTCATAGCGAAGAGCCTCAAAGAGACGACTGAGATCCCCATGTCGACGTTCTTCAAGGGATACAGGCAGACTGCTCTGCCTCCAGATGCCATCATCGCCGGTTTGAAGATCCCCGTTGCGAAAGAAAAGGGCGAATACATTCGTGCATACAAGCAGGCAAAGAGGAAAGACGACGACATTGCAATTGTGAATGCTGCTTTAAGGATATCACTGGATAATGAGCATACAGTCGAGAGTGTGGATCTCGTGTACGGCGGCATGGCACCTATTACGATCCATGCGAAGAAAGCAGGGGAATTTCTTCAGGGCAAGAAGTTCTCCGAGCTGTCGACGCTCGAGGGCGTCATGGACAAGCTTGAAGAAGATTTTGATCTGCGCTTTGGTGTCCCGGGTGGTATGGCGACATACAGGAAGTCACTTGCGCTCGGCTTCTTTTACAAGTTCTACCATGAGATTCTGGCCGAGCTGCACGCTGAGGAAGTTGAGGTCGACGCCCAGGCAATTGGCGAGATTGGAAGAGATATCAGCAAGGGCAAGAAGGATGACAAGGCTGCTGAGGCTTATATCCAGAATGAGGTCGGACAGTCGAAGAACCACGTCGCGGCTATGAAACAGTGTACTGGAGAAGCGCAGTATACGGACGATATACCACTACAGCGGAACGAACTATATGGTTGCTTGGTACTTTCGACAAAAGCGCATGCCAAGTTGCTCTCGGTCGATGCTGAACCAGCACTGGATCTACCTGGCGTTGTTGCGTACGTCGATCATAACGATCTGGCATCTCCGGAAGCCAACTGGTGGGGCGCGCCGTCTTGTGATGAGACATTCTTCGCTCTCGACGAAGTCTTTACTGCTGGCCAGCCGATCGGTATGGTTCTGGCTGATACAGCGAAACATGCAGAGCAAGCTGCGCGAGCTGTCAAAATTGAGTACGAAGACCTTCCGGCTATATTCACGATTGAAGAAGCCATTGAGAAGGAAAGCTACTTTAACCACTTCCGCTATATCCAGAAAGGAGACACGGAAAAGGCGTTCGCCGAGGCTGACCACGTCTTCACCGGTGTTGCGCGCATGGGCGGCCAAGAGCACTTCTACTTGGAGACTCAGGCATGTCTAGCAGTGCCAAAGCCTGAGGATGGCGAGATGGAAATTTTCAGCAGTACACAGAACCCAGCAGAGACGCAAGCATATGTATCCAAGGTCGTCGGTGTCGCTGCCAACAAGATTGTCACCCGTGTCAAGCGCATGGGCGGTGGCTTTGGTGGTAAGGAAACACGTTCAGTCCAGCTTGCTGGTATCGTGGCGTGTGCAGCGAACAAGGTTCGTCGGCCTGTGCGCTGCATGTTGAATCGAGACGAAGACATCATGACATCTGGACAACGACATCCCTTCCTCGCTCGCTGGAAGGTCGCTGTAAACAAAGACGGTAAGCTTCAAGCCCTTGATGCAGATGTCTTTTGCAACGGCGGTTGGAGCCAGGATCTTTCTGGTGCAGTCGTCGAGCGGTCTCTGTCCCACATTGACAACTGCTACTCAATACCCAACATCCACGTCCGCGGGCGTGTTGCGAAAACAAACACAGTCTCCAATACCGCATTCCGAGGTTTCGGTGGACCACAGGGTATGTTCATTGCCGAGACGTACATGGAAGAGATTGCAGACCATCTCAACATACCCGTGGAGAAGCTACGAGAGATCAACATGTACTCTCCCGAAACCAACATGACAACGCATTTCAACCAGGAGATCAAGGACTGGTACGTTCCCCTCATGTACAAACAGGTCCAAGAGGAATCAGCATACGTACAACGACGCAAGGATATCGAGGAATGGAACAAAACGCACAAGTGGAACAAACGTGGTCTCGCCATTATCCCCACAAAATTCGGCATCTCTTTCACCGCACTCTTCCTGAACCAAGCCGGCGCGCTTGTCCACATCTACCACGACGGCAGTATCCTCGTCGCCCACGGTGGAACAGAAATGGGCCAGGGCCTCCACACAAAGATGACGCAAATCGCCGCCGAGACCCTCGGCGTCCCCCTCTCCGACGTCTTCATCAGCGAAACAGCGACAAATACCGTGGCAAACAGCTCCTCAACCGCCGCCTCGGCCTCGTCCGATCTCAACGGTTACGCCATTCACAACGCGTGTCTGGAACTAAACGAGCGCCTTGCTCCTTTCAAGGAGAAGTTGGGCAAAGATGCTACGATGAAGGATCTGGCTCATGCTGCGTACTTTGCTCGTGTCAATTTGTCTGCGCAAGGATTCTACAAAACACCTGATATTGGATACGTCTGGGGCGAAAACACGGGCCAGATGTTCTTCTACTTTACGCAAGGTGTTGCGGCTGCCGAGGTGGAGATTGATACGCTGACTGGTGACTGGACGACACGGCGTGCGGATATCAAAATGGATGTTGGGAGGAGTATTAATCCTGCTATTGACTATGGGCAGATTGAGGGAGCGTTTGTGCAAGGTCAGGGACTGTTTACTACGGAGGAGTCGCTGTGGTTGAGGGGGACGGGTGGGGTTGCTACAAAGGGGCCGGGTAACTATAAGATTCCTGGTTTCAGGGATATTCCGCAGGACTTCAATGTGAGCTTGTTGAAGGATGTGAATTGGGAGAATTTGAGGACTATTCAGAGGAGTAGGGGTGTTGGTAAGTTTTCATTCCTTTTCTTCTTTTCTCTCCTATTTTTCTCTTTGCATTGGCTAACTGATGTTATAGGTGAGCCACCACTCTTCATGGGAAGCGCCGTCTTCTTCGCTATTCGCGATGCGTTGAAAGCGGCGCGCGCACAATTTGGCGAAACATCAATTTTGCATCTCACTAGTCCGGCGACAGTCGAGCGCATCAGGGTCAGCTGTGCGGATCCAATTCTTAAGAGGGCGTGGGTGGAGCCCAAGGAGGGAGAGAAGAGTTTCTTTATCAGTATATAGAGAGGGCGTTTGATGGACCACTTATGAATGGTATGGATAATACTACATGAATAGTATGCATGAGTCACAATGTCAATGCATTGATTCTGAGTTGTGTTTGGGGAAAAATTCCTATTACTTATACGTTACAGCTAAATATTGCTATTTTTGGTAATATGCATACTTGTTAGCTGCACAGGTGGGCTGATGGAGCCCTGCAGAGAGGGACGTTGAATAGTATGCACCCCCGCTTTACGCGATGCTGGTTGAAGTAAGAGAGTTTGCTGTGGCGCAGCCTGACACTGCATCGTTCAGCTCTTCAGGAAAGGCAACCACTTCACACTCACCCACCAGCGGCGGCCAGAATATATTTCACTATCGCTTTTCGTTGCGCTACAGCCTGATGGCGTTCAATGCAGTCGGCGAACTCGAGCAGTCACCCCATTCGTGCCACTATTGTCAAGCAGTCACGATCAGCTTTAAGAACAGTTTCAACAGGCACTCAGCTTTCCGTGAACACGGCACACTAAACATCACTTATGGCCGAGCTCGACATGCTGCAGCTAATGGATGTAAGCTATTCGAATACCTGATGCAAAGCATCGCATACGGCCATGAAGACGAAAACCCCCGGTATTCATTCTCTTACGAATACTCACGAGCCAAAACTAGTTTCATAAGCTTTCTATATCACACAACCTCGCAAGACTTCGAGATCTACGCCGCGGATGAGGCAACATCGTACAGGTTTCCAAAACCGCCCAATCTATCACCAGCATCTACAAGTGCGGCTGAAGACTGGCTAGTCTTTTGCGTTCAAAAGCATGAGGAGTGCAGAAGAGTCGAGAATGTCTTCGTCCCACCAAGACTCCTCCGTGTAACATGTGCTCAAGACGAGGTGCACCTCGTAAGCATGGATGTTACGAAGCCCGTACCGTATGCTGTTCTGAGCTACTGTTGGGGAGGTGATCAGCTCTTCAAAACAGTAAAGAGTAACGTCGAGATAGTCTCAAGAGCGATAAAGGACCTACCGCAGACGATCCATGATGCCATTCTTGTGACACGACAACTCAAGCTCGAATATCTCTGGGTTGACAGCATGTGCATCATACAAGACAGTGAAGAGGATAAAGATGCGCTCATCGGCCAGATGCACATGATATTTGCATGCGCACACGTCACTATCGCTGCCAGCAAAGCCTCAAAATGCACTGAAGGGTTCCTCGCACCTAGATCCAACGTACCACAATTTTACGTCGCCATTCGGGATCCCATAGAGACACACAATATCGGACCTAGTAGGGTTATACTTATACCCTCTTCAAGGGGACATGTTGAGCCACTCGTCACACGTGCATGGACACTTCAGGAGACCCTCCTTTCAAGACGCATCCTCTCCTACGGAAGCCGACAATTGCGCTGGTACTGCGGCTTATGTGGGAATCATGATGGCGGCGTTCTGGGTTGGGATTCCCCCAACTGGGATTCCTTCCAAAGCCTTGATGAAAGAGTTTCTGAACATGCTCGCCAACCCTTCGAGATATCGGATATATTAACTACTCTCCGTTGGGTAGAGATTGTAAAGCAGTACACAATGCGTGGAATGTCAGAGCCTTCGGACAAATTGATCGCCATTTCTGCCGTAGCTCAGCGCCTCGCCAGCCGGACTGAAGGGAGATGGGGTCGATACTATGCCGGTATTTGGAGAGAGAGGTTCTTTGAACAATTGCTGTGGTCTATATCCGAAGGCGAGATTGCGAAACGACCAGTTCGGTACCGCGCACCTAGCTGGTCGTGGGCCGCTATCGATGGGAAGCTAGATTGGCCATTGAACGCAGAATTGATAAATGCTGAGATCTTGTGCACACTTCTCGACGCGGAGATCCAACCGTTGAGATCTACACAACCCTATGGCGCAGTGGCTTCCGGAAGAATTAAAGTCTATGGAGAGGTCAAGCAGGTTTTATGGTCAGCCGATCGGAAAACGGTAAAAGATAACAAAACTCAGGCTGCCGTTACCAGTGGAATTATGCAGACATTTGCAGATGCGCTAGAACATAATGCACAGGACATGACTGTTCATGTGCTGAAGGTAGCGATGTGCCCAGATCGCCGACTTGGCATCAGGCTCAAAACAAACGAATTTGAGAAGCACGTTGAAGGTATACTGTTGGAGCATATCGGTAACGAAGTGTATCAACGCGTCGGTGCAATGGGCGTATGGAGCGTTGAGAAGGACAAATTATCATTGCCCGGGTGGCTGGAGCAGTCGTTACTTGAAAGCAGACAGTGGTGGTCCGAAGGATTTGTGAGTAAGGAGATATATATCGTTTAAATTATGAACGTACGATGCGGTTAATTTCAGCTCTTGGGGTGTAGCTGCGACTGTCTTTCGATATGTGAATAGACCAAAGGACTTCTCGTTCCTGTGATTGTCGCTCAATCTAAGCCAGACCTTAAAGGCAAATGAACCGGTAGCTATGTATTGCTAGTCGTTGCAAGCTCGACGATTTCTTACTTGCAAGTTCTCTCGTTCAAGAAAATCCTTTTGTTGGGATCGTTGGAGAGTGTGGAGGCTGTGGTTGGCTTAGGCTCGTTGGCGATGCAACGGCACACGATGCGAGAATTAAGTGTCGTCATTTGGTTTTTGCATGGCTCTTCTCAGATACATCATTCCAGAAAAACATGACTGGGTGGTTGAAACGTTGTTCTCACAAAGCCTTTCGGAAGTAACAATTGCCGAACGCAGCCGATACTAGATCGGAGATCTAAAAACACGCTACACCAGACGGTCCAGACGTACAATCTATTATGGTTTGATATGTGAAAGGTATGTGTGATTGCAAGAGTACTTGTGATCAGCAGGTTGCTCACATCTAGGTCAGAAAAACGTGTAAGGTGTCATAGAAGCTGTTTGATGAGAACGCCTGCAGTCTTCGAACAACATCCGCTCGCAGTGATTAATCTGTTCGGCATCGCACAAAGTCGACTCAACGCCAGTAAGGCAACATATGAGTAAGCCCACAAGCGTTTCAAAAGTCAGCCCTACGCAACCCTCACAGACCACCACCTTTCAAGTTGAACCCAATCCTAGTCCCACACGTCATCATCCACGTACCACAAGTCGGCGAACTCTGACGACATACTCTCCCCGGTAAGCCCATCTAACGAGACGATGCAACGATCATGTCAGATGAACTCACCGCTCAAACTCCCGATGAGTAAGTTATTTGCTTGCCACTGAAACCGAACTCGACGATCGAGCTGATCAGTGAACAACAAGTAGTTTTGGTGCTACGCCCGTAAAATGTTGTTACGGCTGGAGAGTATAGGCTAGCTCAAGGCCACCAAATATTGGATCAAGGCGCTAGGAAGTGTCCATTCCTATAACGGTATGCCATGGCGTTTCGCGGGATGCGCGTCATCATCTTCCCGTCCGGGTGGCATGGTGGAAACGCTGGAGTGGGGTTGGGCTTCACTGGTGCACTATGGTATACAAGGGTAAAGGAGGATATTCGAAAAAGGAGGGATGCGATTGGGTAGTTAGGTCAGTATATCTTCCATAAGATCGGCAGTTGAATGTGGAGATTGTAGCACTACTGAGGTACGTTCTTACTACCGTGGTGGTTGTTAGTTGTCATTGCAGAAGCGTGCACTTGAACTCTAAACAATCCTGTCTGCCCAGGCAAATGAGACTACAAAGCGCGTAAATCTCGTCATTTGCCTTGATCACATTTTGAGAGCAATGCAGCATGATCTCAAAATCAATGCAAGGGAAGAAAAAAAGGCGTCTTATGAGATTACTCGGTAGCAATTCCGTGCATCTTCACTGGTAGCGGAAGCGGCTCGACGATAAGGTCAAGATCTATAAAATCGTTTCATCATGGTTGATATGATTTATTCGTGACTCCAACCATGAAAGGCGCGCTTCGGGAGGATGAAGATCAGGCTTGGCGATCTCAACAAGCTAGTTGGCAGAAGTGATGACGCTCACTGTCGTGAGATGGTGCAGGAAACCTCCCAATCGTTGGCGCGATAACAAAAGCCCTTGGATGGGGGGTGAAACTTCACAAGCGGTAGTGTGATGCTTGAAGAGAACTAAATTGCATGGAACGATGCAAGGCTGCAAAGCAAGAGCGCACGCGAGCTATGATACAATGGGGGATCAACCTATGACGCCGTGGTCCGCTCACTACTCACGATGGTAGGTCCATCTACTTTCCTGGGCCATGCTCCAGCACCCTTGGGAGGAGAATTGCGATCAGATCCACGATCAGATCCCTGACCGCGACCGCCTCTTCCCCGCCATGATGTGCCTCCACGTCCACCACCACCACCACTACCACCACCACCACCTCCTCGTTTTGACCTTCCATCTTGGCCCCCACCACGCCCCCGACCAACTTGAAATTGTATCCTAGTGAGCGGCTGTTCGACCCATTCTACACCCTTTAGACCCAAGTTTTGCTTCTCCCAGTCGCTGAGCTTCCAGGCTTGATAAAGGCCCATCAATCGCTGTTGGTCCACTTCTTCCTTACCAGGGCCGACAGTTCGTGTCAGTTTGATACCCCGTAGCTCTGGTACCCATGCCTTGATGTATTCGCCATGCTTGTCGTAGTCGAGTGCTTGTTTAATAGGATTAAAGACGCGGCCCTGCCGCGGATCGTTGCCGACACCAGCGACGTATTGCCAGTTGCCCCAGTTGCTAGCTGGATCGTAGTCCACAAGGAAGCATTCATACCACTCTGCTCCAATTCTCCAGTCGATATCCAGATGAGACGAGAGGAAAGAGGCGACGTTTTGCCTCGCGCGATTCGATGTGTAACCTGTGACGAAGAGTTCGCGGTTTGATGCGTCGATAAGACCGACTCCTGTGCGCCCTGAACGGAACCGCTGGAACGCTTCGAGCGTCTTTACCGGATCGTCGCCTGCACCACCTGATCTGTCTAGTCGTTTCCACTTCTTCGTTCCTGACTCTCCCTTCTGGCCTTTGGCACCACGATCTTGTATGCCATAGAGACTGAACATCTTATATCCAAACTTCCTCATGCAAAGTCGCATGTAATCTCTCCACAACAACTCGAACCGAACAGCTGCTGTTCCTTCGTTCTCACCCTTTCCGTAGCCATCTCTCTTTTCGCCAGGGCCCCGCCCTTCCTCAAAATCCATCATTGCCCAATGGACCTGCCGGGCTGTGATGTGACCTTGAGCAAGGTAGGCTGAAAGTTTGGTGCTGAAATCGAGACCAAGCATGCCATTTCTTGTCTGTTTGTAGGAACTCATAGCTCCAGAGCTGATAAGATGGTTTATACGATTTAGACCAGCGGTTTCGCCGCCAGAGAATGGATGCGCCGACTGAGCATCTGTCGGCCATTGTGGTGGCCATGTAAGGGTGTATGTTTTGTCTTTTTCGAGTGGCGATAACAGAGCTCGTTTCAACTTTTCCAAAGACGATGGTATGACGAATGGCTGTTTTTGGGGTGGTATGCTCGAGGGCAACGGTGGAAGTTGGGTTGGTGTGGGTAGGGTACTGCGAGGTCGATCGCGTAGCGGTTCGAGTCCTTTCCTGAACGACGTGTATACATTTGGCAGGTCGGATATGTTATCATAAGGTAGGTCACGGCTGAGGCGAGTTAGCAGAATTCCTCAACAAGGCGAGACGCCAATGTGACTTACTCATCTATGAAGTACTTCTCGTCGCTCCACGCCTTGAAGTCTACCCCGTGCTGTTCTGCGAGTTTCCTTACACTGGCCACCTCTGTTTTCTCTTCTGTGTTATCGTCATCGGTCATCCAAACCCCGCTGATCTTGCCCTCGTGCTCGTTTTGAGCATACCAGTCGATTATGTCAGAAACAACCTCGGTGGGTTTGCCCACGCGCATCTCCAGTCCGGAGTTGCAGTCCAACCCCGCAAGCTTTTCCTTGAGATCCCATACTCCATCCGCTATGAATTGCACGCGATGAGGTCCTGTCCGCCATACTCGTGCGACCTCACTGCGCGCCTCCGGATATGGGCTCTTGTCGGATGGGGAGGAGAGGAAACCGGACACTTCGATTTGGTTGGGGGGGAAAACGTATACGGGTAAGAGGTGGGTAAAGTTTGCGCTGCCGTGTTCCGAGGTCAGCGAATCATCGCGGTGCCGTCTGTCCCCATTTGAAGAAGTTCGTGACGGGTTTGGACGCGCGACGTGAAGGGAGGCGGCATGGAAAGCGGGATTGTCTGAAAGGCGGGCATCGCGACTGAGAACGTATAGCAAAATGCGCGGGATTCGGCTTGACATAATCGGAGACTTGGGAGACTCGTCGCCAGCAGCACTAAAAGCGCGTGTGCAACAATCAGAACAAACAAATAAGTCGCAGGTGTTGCACGGCGGCCAGGAGCAACTACGTCGTAACATCAAGGTTACGATTCATAGAAGACCTGGTAGTAGAGAGTCGGGAGCATTGCGGTGCCGCAGGCGATAGAGAACTTCAGGGCCTGCGGGACGTCATGACCCTATGAAGGCGACAATGGGGCTCTCACCGAAATTTCTAGGGCACGAGGCCGTTGGACACTAAAAGGTGCCCTAAATGTCATCTGTCAGCCATATCAGGTATTCTCCACCGGAAGGGGTGCAGATGGTCGAAACTGAGGAGATCCGGTTCAAGATTGGTGATGCTTGCTGCAGCATCGCCAACCAGGATTATGACGTGAGGGACGACTTAGTGCGGCGCCACAATTCGCTATGGCCGCTGCAGGGACACAAAACGAGCGACTTGGGGACGGGCCGAGCGTTCGTGGAAAGGATAAAGCTGGCGATTGTCGTGCTGTCATGGAAGCACGGAGAGATCGCGAGACGTGCATGCATGCGCCATGCCGTGCCTGGTTAAGGGTCAAGAGGGTTCTAGATGGTTCGGCGCCCAAAAGAGCCGTGCAGGGACCGCGAATCGTTCATCTTAGGCGTGTTGATCGTGCAGCTTGATCTCGATATTCGTCGATTTGGAGCGGAAATCGCGTACCAGGTACCGCAAGGGGCACGTGGCTGTTAGCCGACTGGGGATATGACATATGACACTTGGGTTGCTCGCCGTCCTCCGATGTCTTGCCGCCACGCACAGCTTGGTTCAAGGACTCCTTAATGCAGTAACACCTCGCTTGCCATATACACAGTAGTATGCTGCACATCGCCCACCATTATCGAGTGCTTGTAGTGATCAGTGTGCAGCGTGTATATGCCATCTTTGAATTCGTGGTCCAATGGGTCGAAGCCCTGCACGACTTATCGAGTGAGTGAGCAAGGTATCACAGACATGCCTGTCGATGAAAGGGATTAGTCTTGCCGATGGTCATGGTTGATGAATGCGTTGGCTATGAACGGGGCTGACTTGTAGGAACTTGCAGTAGAGCCGGAGATCGCTGCCCAGGTCAGCCCGCAGGAAGGCAATAAGCGTGCCAAGGCATGTAACCGACAGATGTTTGCTTTTGTCGTATAGTTCAAGGCACAAGTCTTCTATCCTTGTAGTAGGATTGGATGTCAGAGGCTTTTCTTAAAAAATGTGTTGTTTAGACACTTCTTTTCGCTCGTTCACCTATCGTACCGAATGGGGCATAGCGCATGTTCAACACACCCTGTCATGACCGTATCTTAGGATTTTATGGTACGCGCCATTTACATACCCCACAACATCCTTACCCACACGTCTATTTATCACCGATAAGCATATAAGCAATACCTATAGGGTGTGGTTCAATCTGCTACCTTCAATAGATTAATTCTATCCAAATGTCTTTATGTTGAAAAGATCAACTATAACTTGACAGTGTGTTCATGCACTATACTAGAGCCCTGAGACTGCTGTTGGAACCAAACCAAGGGTCCCTGGGTGGATTTCGAAGATGTATGTTTGGAGTGAAGCAGCGTCTAAGAATGAGCCTCCTGCGGATATACGAAAGAACATGCCATATCTTGGACTATCTTTGCCTGCAGAATGTAGTTGCAGGTCTGCTTCACAGATAATGTGAGGCAGAAGCGACATGCATCGTATTCTACGAAATGAATCGCTTGAGTATATAGCCATCAAGCTTGCCATCCAACGGGTAGAAAGAGCTAGTAGAACAGCCTCTTGGGGCTGAGAATCTGTAACCTTGGGAAATTGTTTTACCTAGCAATTCCTTAGGCTTCGTAGACATATCTTGCGAGCCCTAACTTAAGAAAGGTGAAGTAATAACAAGCTTAACCGAGATACGAAAGAAGGGAGGAGAAGATCTGTACGACAAGGGCTACTAAATTGTTGCTTCATGTACAATCAAAGTTTTTTCAATACTATCATTAACACATGTTCGTTTTCCTAGTGGATTTACTCAACATGCGGTTCCGAATGTTGTGACGCGCCTCGCAAGCCTTGACGCCGCATGGTATGATCATCACCCCATATTGACAATCAAGCCACCGGTAATCCATTGTCCTCAGTTGCTAAGGTCGGTAAGCGTTTCTAACAAACGGTGCGGTATACGCCATCATTTGTCGGTCTCTGCGCCTTGTGCTTGTGCTCTTTCCGCAGTCCCTTATTGGCATGCTGCTTCTCGATGCTAGGGCTGGCACCAGGTTGGAACGCCGAAAGATCAACCGCATCCGTCTTCATCAGCATCTCCGTGACGCCACATATGTCAGTGACTAGCCTGTCGATCATGTCAAGCGACAGACTCTCCCTGACGACTACTCTAAGGATTTCGGTCTTCTCCTCGCCTGGTGGCAGCGGGTAGTCTGCATGCGAGGTTAGTCACGTTATGTCCAATAGATCAGATGTAGTCTTACTGGGGATAATGTATTGCTTAGCTCGAAGCAGATTGCTGACCGCTTCTTGCTTGACATGGGGGAATTCCTTGTGGAACTCATCTGTGAGAGTGAATGCAACGACGGGTAGACCAGCATTGTAGTCTGCGCTTGTTTCGCCTTCGTCGTACTGCTTCTTGCCCTGCTCGAACTTGAAATCGCCCTTCTTGCGGTGGATGTCGCTGACGCAACGGTACCAGCCCTGAATCATGATGTCAGTAAGTCTTCTTGTGCTACCCAAAGATTTGATGTCGTACCGTATGCTCGAGCGCCCTGCTCAGTAGACGTGCATTAGCCAACATGTTTTCCATAATGGCACGGTATCCCGAGAACCCTAGATGAATCAAGTTGTAGTATTGTGCGATGATCTGAGCTCCAGGACGTGAGAAGTTCAGAGTGTACGACTCTTCTGTTCCACCCAAGTAGTGAAGCTCAAAGATCAGATGCTTGGGCAGGTAGCTTTCGTCTCGCCAGATGATCCATCCGACACCAGCATACACGAGACCAAACTTGTGACCACTGACGTTGATGGATTTGACTCGCGGTAGCTCAAAGTTCCACTTCTTGCCAGCTTTCGCGTGGGTAAAGGGGGCGATGAAGCCACCAGATGCACCATCTACGTGGATGGGAATATCGTTGCCAGTCTCCTTCTCGAAGGCGTCGAGGATATCGGAGATTTCCTCCACAGGTTCGTAATGTCCAGTGTATGTGGAACCAAGGATGACAAACACACCGATTGTATTCTCGTCGATGTTCTCCTTCACCAACTTTGGATCCAGACGGTAGGATGAGTCTTCGCTTACGGGAAGAATGCGAGACTCAACTTCGAAGTACCTAGCAAACTTCTCCAGAGCAACTTGTGCGTTTGCGCCCATGATGATGTTTGGATTTGAAGTGTCTTTGCCCTCGGCCCTTCTCTTCTCTTGCCAGCGACGCTTCATGGCGAGTCCACCAAGGTGAATAGCTTCGCTAGAACCAGTAGTTGCCGATCCGATGGCCTTCTCGCCCTTCTGTGCGCCCCACATGTTAGCAATGATGGATACACATCGTGCGTGCATGTCCATCATTGCTGGGTACTCGTCAGCATCCGACATGTTCTTCGACAAATTCTCAATCATGAGCTGCTCGGCCTCCTTCTCCATGTATGTTCCAACGAATGAAGCCAAGTTCAACTGGGGTCGTCCGTCAAGATCAAGCTCGTCCTTGAGTAGCTGGTGAACAACATCGGCAGGAGCGCCATCGTGCGGGATTTTGAATTTTGACAACTCTGTGCCAGCGGCATAGCGACTCGAGTAAGGTGTGATATGTGAGGTTGCTCGGTTTGCGGACTTGTGGCCTCCGGCCTTGTGAATTGGGTGGTCCTTTAGTGTCTCAAGGAGCTCATCCGTGTCTACGTGTCTCGCGAGTCCGGCCATTGTGATGAATGTTTAGAAGTGGTTACGTTGGTAGGGATTGAGATTGATGCAAGGTTTGCAAGCATCAGGCAAGACGTTTCATTTTTATACGAGCAGAAGTGTTTGCTGGTACACGTTGACAACATACATACGCATGACGACACATTACGTCCGTTGTCGCTCACACACCCGCGTTGGCCATGCAGCCAAAATGGGATATGCAGACCAAGCAGAACCCGCATTGAAAAGCTTGACATTTGCTTGGTAAAAAGCTTGTTTCTGGCAGTGAATGGATTTCGTGGGACGTGTCATGACCAATTAAGGAGCCGTTCTCAAGCTCCGCAACGGGAGTCGGCTAGGGATTTCAACCGCGGAACTGACAAACAATGGAATCAAACACGCGGCTCTCTACGGGACTGGCCAATCTGGCCTCATACCTTGCAGCGAAAGCAAAGTAGGAAAATAACGCATAGTGACGAATCTCATACAGACCAAAAGCCGGAAGTAAGTAGCCTTCATGCACATGGATGGGTCGATGACGGAATTCTGGCAATCACCCGGTCCGTCGTTTCGCCGACAGCGCGCCGTCACGTGATGGAGTGCAGACCTGAACACCACCAAATCTGCCATATCTGACATTGTCCCAACAAACCTTTTGGAGAACCTAGCGGCATCGGATGGGACTCCGTTAGATTCTCCCAAAGGTTTGGTGCAGGCTTACCTGGCTGATGGCTACAAAACGCTCAAAGTTTCGGGTGGTGAGATGGGATTGGTGATCATGACGTAGTCATCACATCCGTGGAACGCGGGGAAGATCGACTGACGCGTCCTTGACAACCTGAACTACACGTACACAGTACGCGGCCTCGGTGCCTTGACGGGGTGTAAAGAATATACCTTCAAATTAGGGGTCCGTATTTGCAAAGCAGTAGAGCTCGAGCATTTGCTGCCATTTGTAACCACTTCATCAAGCACCATTGTTGTTGTTTGAGATTGGTCCGCCTTGTAGTCCGAAGCCCAAGAAGCGGGTCACCTACCGAGAGCTCCGCCCCAATAACGTTGCCACGCAGTGGTGTTGTAATCGACTCGTCTTACTCTTTAGCTTGGTTGCCTAGCTACTTGTTACAGTACTTGTGCTCCCCTACCATTCTTGCTCGTTCACCCATTCCCCTTCAATCACCAGGTCAACATGCGATTTTCACGCGTTGTACCAGTCTTGCCTCTGGCGACTGCATTCGTCATTACCGAGCCAGAAGTCTTCTCGAACATCAACATTGAGAAGTCTGGAAAGTCCCTTGTCGACAACGCTCACACTGTTCTCGACAACGCCCAAAATGTCATTGACGATGCATTCAGCAAGGTCAAAAACGGCGCCAAGGACGTCTACAGCAAGATTCACCATGCTGGTGCCGATGTCGAGTCGTGGTTAGAGGGCTCTCAATTCGACGACAGCGTCATTGACTTTGAGAATCCTGAGCACCCTCCTCACGATGGACCGCCACACCATGGCGGCCCTCACCACCCTCCGCACGACCAAAAGCCGAACCGCACAGTCTACGAGCTCATCAACGAGAGCAAATACACTACAAAGCTCGCAAAATGGATCAACGAGTTTGACGACATCGTGGAGGCGCTCAACAGCACCAAGGCCAACTACACAGTCTTTGCTCCCACAGATGAGGCCTTTGAGAAGATTCCCGAGCATCACCACAAGCCTTCCAAGGAAGTCTTGAAGGACATTCTGCTGTACCATGTCACCGACGACTTGTATCCTGCTGGTCGCGTACTCCACACATACACCATCCCAACTCTGTACACGCCAAGCAAGAACCTAGGTCACCCGCAGCGCCTTACTGTTCGCGTGACACTCAAGGGTCCTGCGATCAACTTCTACAGCCGCCTTGTAGCCGTCAACATTTTCGGAACCAACGGTGTCGTCCACGGTGTTGACTCCATCCTCGTACCACCTCCCAACGTCGCCTCCATCATCGACTTACTCCCTGGCGAGTTCAGCACTCTTGAACTCGGTCTCACAAAGACAGGTATCTATGAGAAGATGAACAGCACTGAGTATCCACACAACGGCGGTACATTCTTCGCGCCTTCCAACTTTGCGTTCCAGAAGCTTGGAGCGCGTGCCAACGCCTTCTTGTTCTCAAAGTATGGTGAGAAGTACCTGAAGGCTCTTCTAGAGTACCATATTGTCGTTGATCAGACACTTTACACTGACGCCTTTTACGATGGGCGTAAGGACGACAAGGAGACTGTCGAGGAGCGCCCAGGAGGTTACCACTACGATCTCCCTACTGCTCTTTGCCACAAGAACCTCGCCGTCGACGTCGGTCGCTACGGACCTTTTGTCGAGATCAGGATCAACGGCTTCTCGCGTGTCACTGTTCATGACGGTGTAGCTAGCGACGGTGTCATCCAGGTCGTCTCCAACGTCCTGATCCCACCCAAGACTTCTGGTGGCGCGCAGAGCTTTTGGAAGGGTGAGGAGCTCGACGTCGAGGACCTCAAGGAGCGTCTCCAGCCTCTTGTTGAGAACATGGAGTTGTAGATCGACAACTCTTATGCGAGCACTGAAATTTGTTACGTTCTTGCTTCGAGACGATCTTTACGACATATCCCTTGTATAATAACTTTTCCCTTCAAGTGGAGTGGTCACTTCACACTACCTTGTGTATGACTCAGATAGCAGATTAACAAACGAATACAAATATGACACCATATATCGCGCTTGCAATCGTGATATTGCTACTACTGCTGTCTTTCATCTAGTCTAAGCTGACTTTGAAGTACACGTGTGCAGGCTACCATTCTTTGTAACAGAAGACTGTAATACTTTTAGTCCGTCATAGTCTGGCTGTAACTACCGCTACTATTCCTTTCGCGTAAGTAGCAGGAACCACACAGTTAATGCTCCAGCCTAAAGGCGATGTCATTGGATCTCATTTTATCGCAAGACCTAAACGCGAAATGTGTCTATACCGTACACAAAAGCAAACCAGAGTCATGAGTAGCAAATACCTCTACAATGTCCTGTTTCTACGAGAAGTCCTCGCCTCCTTCTTCAATCGTGTTCTTGACTCGCAATAAAAGTGTAGTCTTCCACTTGTCAAGCTTGGTGAGCTGGTCAAAATTGAACAACTGTGAGAAGTTAGTACGACGCGCATTTGCGAATGTGTGCCAATTGAAGAGAACATGCCTTCTCAGAAAACGCCTCCTGATCACCGTCTTGCACTGCAGCTGCCAAGTCAACAAGCAGTGCGTGCTCCCTCTGCTGCTGGAAGCTTGGATCCAGCTCTCTATACCTGTCAAGCGCAGTGTTGACACCGACCTGGTCGCCTGTGCATAACTGGCAGATACCAGCCTTGAGTAGGTACTCCTTGACGGACCAGCGCATAAGGTTATTAGAAATCGAAGTTCTGGCAACTTTCTCGTAAAGCTCAATGGCTTTGTAGTAGTCCTTGCCTTCTAGAGCGACGAGGTCGGCGGTCTTGAGCCAAAGCTTGTTGGCAAGTGCTTCAGCATTGTCGCTCTCATACCAGCCAGCCGCTTCCTCGTATGCGGCTGCAGCTCGGGTGTTGTCACCAAGCTCGACTTCGTAGAGCTCTGCAAGGTTCTGCTTGTGGGTGGCTGCACGGCGGAAGTTGCCCTTGCTGCAGTAATGCGCAATGGCTTTGTCTAGACACCGCGCAGCTGCTTCTGGGTCATCTTTGCGGTAGGCCTCTGATAATAAATCAGTCACAGTGATTTCCAGTGTGAAAGAAGATTGGAAAGAAGAAGCTTACTGAAGGCGTCTGTAAGCGTGTTTGCTTCGTCATCAGGCTCGTTCAGATTCTGACGTTGTACTGATGCTGCCCTTTCGAAAGCCTCGCCTGCCTCCTTGCCTAGAACATGTTAGTTCTCAAGACGGGATCGTTTCCTAGTACGCATCTGACCATACCCATCTTTTGCATCCGGAACGCATTTGCTGCAGCGATGAATTGATCTGCGGCTGCCTCATCTATCACGTGCGTCAGTCCAGGCAAACAGCAAGTCAGGGTATCACATCAGATCATACACTTGTCTTGCTTGTTGCTGAAGAAGCTGAAGCCACCAGATGCTTTCTGCAGTGATGCTTCTGCCTGTTGTCACGTCAATATCAGTTATTCGCTTTGTGGCTGAGTCTTGGAAGGCCCCACCTGTCGCAGCAGCGCTCGTGGATCGCCGGCCATGTTTGCTGAGTTGTCGAGTGCGGAGGTTGTTTGCAGGAGAGGGAGGGCCAGTACGAGATATGAGTGTATAGGCAGATGTTATGTTGAAACTTTGGTCGAGACAGGTGGCTGCACTTGCTGTCTCAATGAGCGATGACGACCCACGTTGGTCCATGCGAGCGGGCTGTGACCTCGGCGGCGGCTTTACCACTTCGGCGCTAGTGTTTGCAGCCCGCCTCAAGCTTCACGACGTTGCATTCACAGCAGCGTCGAGGCATCCGCAAGAAACATGGCTACACGTCGCGCATTTGCTTCCTCGAGGTTTTACAGTCCTTTGCAACGCCTGCAAACACGCTGCTATAGCCGAGGTGTACATCCCGACGAGCTTGAAAAGCTTCTAGCAGAGCCCACATGGTCCGTCGAATCTCTCCTACCACCAAAGACGCGCGCTTCCGACGCTCCTCAGATCACCTCGCAGCAGCTTCATCATCTACTACGCCTATCCGCTCTCCCGCCACCAGAAACACCCGAACAAGAGCAGAAGATGCTCGACACACTGGCAGCACAATTACACTTTGTGGGCAAGATACAGGAGGTGGATACAACGGGTGTAAAGCCTCTTCGGGCGATACATGATGAGTCAAAGGCTGCGGAAGAAGAGCAGACTATCACCTTGGAGACACTAAAGGACGCCCTGGGCAAAGAGAAGGTCGTAGGCCAGCATCACAAGCGGTTACAACGAGATGCTACGCCGGTTGACGCTCAAGATGTTGAGCACTGGGATGTGCTGGGCTCGGCTGAGCGAAAGGCTGGTAAATATTTTGTTGTCGAGAGCGAGAGGCCGCAGGAATAAATCTTTCCTACGGCCTTGCACACGTCTAGAACCAGAGCCATCGGTGCACGATGAGATGTGCATGACTACGAATGGTATACGGCTACGAAGGACACCAGGACGATCGGGAAGCAGCACCCATACTTGTTTGCAACGTTTGTATCTTCGTTGGTAAACAAGTAAACTCCAAGGACCAGGGATAGTGCCAATCCAGAGAAACACAACACCAGCCTCCATATGACGACCGTCGTAAATAAGAGACAACAAGAACCAACAACAAGCCAGAGATTCATTCACCAGAGACCGACCTCCTTCCTGCACTTTGTGCAACGCTTAACGACATGCGCTTCCACATCACAGCCACAAAAGGGCGCCTCATCCATATTGTCAAATTCTGGTGTCGACAGCCGACTCAGCCTAGGTGTCGGAGGAGGTGTGGGGCCTGCGAAGGAATTCATAGCTGTTTTCGTCTTCAAAGGCAGTCCTTCGCTCGACTTTGCTTTGGCATGAAGGATCACCGACTTTGATCTAACTTTGGACGAACGCTTGGCGGAAGTCACGTGTAACTCTGAGCTGGGTTCCGCGACTTTCCTTCGAGGTGCGGGGTGAGGTTGTGACGAGACGTGTTCAAAGCTGCTTTGTGGGTATGAGTCTTCATCTCCTTTGGGGTATAGGACGAAATCGGTGTATCCCTGGACTGGTGGTTCAACCTTCCAATCCGCCCAGCGGTGACGACGAGATTCCGCGATCTGAACATTGCTTCCATCGTGGTACGTCGTCTGACGGTACTCGTGGGTATCTTGCTTCTTTGGTAGAAAGTCTGATGCCTGGAGAGCCGGTTGTGTGAATGGAGTCGACGGCATGGTGACAAGATGGTCCAACCGGCACCATGAAATATCAGGAAAGAGTTGGAAGTGGGCTTGAATGACTTTTCAGCACCTTCAGACCGGTTCTGAGATGAAGAAGAGATGTGGTGGGGTGGTTGAGCGGAGAGAGTAGTGGGGGGAAAGAACGATGAAGGGTCCAAGAGGTGGGTGGTGGGCGGTGCGAGTATATACAGTGCGGGATCAACTCGCCAAGCCCCATCTCGCCTGACACCCTAGGCCTCCTGCACTACCACCACACCCCTTGTGCGCTCTGTTTCTCTATGCCAATCGAATCCGAAGCTCTCAGTCGGTATGGAGAGACTGGATTCGTCCAAAAAGACATGGATTTGCACAACTTGGATGTTATAGTGCACTTTTGCATAGTTCCACATTGGGATATAGGTGTGTCTACTCGTCGAGGTCACCATGAGCATCCAACCCAGAGCGAGAAGGACTTGCGAGTGCTCGAAGCCAATACGGAGACTGTGTTTGTTCGATGCATCGTGTCTTGGAGATGCTCGAATGTTGACCTTGTCGTCAGTGGCTCTCGTCCTCGATCCTAAGCATATCCGGATCGCATACCACTTTCAATGTCTCACATAGTATAAATTACAGCCCCTCAATACTATGGGACACCAATCTCAGCCTTTTTGTCTGATTTTCAGCACCTCCGATGGACATTGTGGTGTCGTTGGTCGCTCAAGTTTGCAGAGCGCGTGCCAAGGTATTACCAAAATGTCAACCCTGCAAATCACACAAAGACCATGTGGCTGCATGACTCTCCAGATCCAACTCATGTATGTAATCGTCTCATAACAGAAGAACTCCAGCTAGGACCTGCTGGCTAGCACTTGAATGTACTAGAGTCACTGAACCTACTATCAAACACTTGGGCCTCTGGCACGGCTACTCCAGATCCAGACGAGGTGGATATCTCACAGCACCACTACGCGCCCGCCTCGCAGCCTCGTCTCCCGTCCCCCTTTGCTTTCGAGGGAAACCAGTCTGGCCCATTCGGCCCTGGGCCCGGCTCCGATGCATCGCAGGATCCAACAAGGTCTAGTCCACGTGACTTCTTATCAGAACAGGCGCTCAAGTGTCTTGTCTTGTGTACGTGACAGCTGCTCTCTTCGATACGATAACGAGTAGAAAAAATATTGTCCGAATGCCGACATCGCGCTCTACAGACGTTGGGGTGAGTAGGAAGTGAGAGTTGAGCATTCAGAATGCGCATCAATTCTGCCTTTCTCTTTCGTCCAACTCTTTCAAAGGTTCCCAAGTAAGGAACAAGAATGGATTGCCGAACAAGTCAGATGACATGACGAGTGGGAATAAGAGATTTCCACATTATTTGATTTGTGTTTCTGAGATTACAAAGTTACAGGGAAGATACTCAACTCTTTAGCCAGACGGCAACTATGCCGTTCATGCATGCAATCTATGCTTTCTCTCTCTCTCTCTCTTTCCTTGGATAATAAAAATACAAAGCACCATCAATCCTCTCTGGCCCATCTCTTACTAAAACTGCCAGTCAAAGCAGAAACAATCTGTGAAAACGTAACAAAAAAAACGCCGCCGGTTTGGAAAGGAACACTCTCTCCATCATCCCAATTCCCATGCCATGGTATTGTCCCCCTAAATCCCCTTCTCCTCTTCCAAAAAACAACAACAAAAAATAAACACTCCCAAATTAACGCCCATTCCAATGCATGTTTTGTTACACAATCGCCCCTACTCTGGACTCGCACCCCTAACAGACGGCTCCACACTCGCACTCGCCCTCCCTCTATCCTTGCCCCCACCACCAGGACCCAAACTAAGCTTAATCTTCTTCTTCTTGGGTGAATCTCCACCGACATCATCAGCGTCACGGTCGCGCTTGCCCTCGCCCCTTTCACTACTCTCGCTGTGTTTTCTATCCCCAAGATCAGGTCTACCACCACTACTAGTTTTCAGCTTGACTTTGAGCGTGCCATTACCATTACCGTTGGAAGTGGTAGTCGAGTTAGAAGATGGCTTATCACGATCAGCCTTCTTGACATAGGACGACTTCTTCTTCATCTTGCGGCGTTCGGGGGTATCGTTGTCCATATCATCAGCGTCGGCATCGTCGTCTTTTTCGCCCTTGAGACGTTTAACGGGCGAGATGCCCTTTGTTTTGCTACTCGTCTTGGGGTTGTTGGCGGATGACGACTCGCCGGGCGCGGGCGTGCCCATGCGACTTCCCAGCGGCGTGTTGCCGAGACCTGAACCCGTGCCGCCGTTTTGTCCCGTGAGTTTGGCCATGGCGTTGCGACTACTCTGCCGCCCGCTGATGCCGAGGCACTTTTCTAGGTGCTGTGCGAAGCGCGTTATGAGTAAGCTGCGCTTGCAGTTGGGACACGTGTGCCAGGGGATGTAGGAAGCGGGTTTGCCGCCCGTGTTGAGCTTGATTTCCTTGGTGTCGCCTCCGGCCATGTCTGTGTCTTGGGAGCCGGGCGTGCCTACGCTCTCCTTCTCGGCGTTCTTCTGCTGCTGCTTGATGAGCTCGCGTTCCTTCTTGCTCTTGGCCATGTCGGTGGGGAAGGGGTTGCCGTAGACGTCGTGGCCCGATCGCTGGACGAAGGGGTAGAGCATGCAGTACTCTTTGGTCAGGTCTGGGTTCTGCATGCCCTTGCCCATGATGGGGTGCATCAACCGGGGCAGCTTGCAGTGCGGACATATTATCTCAGGCGTTGTCTTGAGCGGATTGCCCTTGAGGAAGACGCGCCCATTGTCGTACTTTGCTGCCGATGTCTCAGCGACGGGTATCGACGTGGCGCCTGTCGTGTTTTGCTTCTGCGACTGCGGCTCGAGGTTTGCCAGGGCGATAGACTCGGCTTGCGTGGCGGCCGACTGCATGCGGAGCAGCTTCTCGGATCGGTGGCATGATAGGGCCGTGGTGAAGACGATGTTGCTCAGCAAGTCGTCGAGGATGTTGGTAGTCTGCGACACGTTTCTTAGCAAGGCGCATCATGGGGAGGGTCATGTAACCGAGGAGGCGGTTTGCGGCGGACAGGCCCTACCAGTTCTTGGAGCACGTCTGACGGCAGTCCCACGGCAGCGTCGACGCCCTCGCCCTGGTCGTCGGCCGGCCGGTCCTCAGACATGTCGTTGACCGTGGGCGGAGTTGTTCACGGCGGAGTGGTTCAGGGCGTGGAGAAAGTGTTGCTGAGACGTTAGCGTCAGTTACGGGAGATATCGATGGGCTTCCCATGCATCCCTGCTCCGGGACCCATTTAGCGCATGCAGCCAAAACTACCTACCCCACACAACAAGAACAGCGTGTTCGCAAAAGACTCCACACACGCGTCGGGTATCATTTCATCCATCTAGACCTGTTTACACTACCTCCCACCTCGCCAGTCTGCCTATGGTGCTTCCCGCCTGTCTCACAATGCACACGCCATCGCTACCTACTCTGTGCACCGCCAGATTCGCAATAGCTGTTGGCATGCCCTCTGCAAGGTTGTAGTTGCCTGTTGTAACAAAACCCATTAGATCCGCCTCGTCGGGGACAAGAGGATAGTCCTCCTCGCCTGCTTTCGATGCACGCTTTGTGCCAGGTTGTGGCATCAAGGACAGCCATCTGCTTCGAACTTGTGCGTCTGCAGGCAGACGGTAGATGCGAGCGCAGTCTGTAGGGGTACCTCGCTGTACCATTGTGATCTTGGCAGTGAACACATCTAGTGACGGCCAAGAGTCGCCCAACGTAGCATTGCCCTTCTCAATCAAGTGAACTGCATCTCTGGGAGAGAGCTGTCTGACAGGGGTCCGGGACTCTCCTGGCTCCTCTCGAGGAGTGGTAATCTCTCCTTTCCATCTTGGAATCAATCGCTCCCAGTCGCAAGACCAGGGATCTCCAATCTCACCCTTCCTACCATTGCCGAGATCAATCGTCGACCACTCAATCCTCTTTCCCTTTGGACGCTTAGTCCATTCGTGCTTCCTCACCTCTCGCTCACGTAGTTCCCAACTCCATCCAGCATCCGTGCCAGGATGATCGTACGGGAAGTGCGGCTTCGAGCGCTCAAAGTCAACCTGGCGTCTTTCTTTCAAGCCGCCAAATAGTGGGGTTTCGCCTGTAGATACCGGGTAGCGCATCATCTGTCGCCATACGGGCATGACGCATCTCCAGGGAAGAAGAACAGTCCAAGACTTGCTTTCTCGCGATACAAGTACAAGCGTCGGAATACGCGGATCGGTTGAGCGTGCCTCTGGGTCTTCACCTAATGTGCATGCGCTCTTCCGACGATTTATAGACTTCTGAGACGGCATGGTTCGTTGTGCGGCTAGCCGGCTGTTGGTATCGAAGATGGAGGCTGGGATTGAGGCGTTGTCGAGCGGCCAGGCTGCAAGGGTTTCCGTCAAGGCAGTCAGAGACTGTTGGTCGTATGCCACGGGCGATGTGCGAGGAGGATCGCGAAGCCGGGGATCTGAAATGTTAAAAGACAAAAGCGCACCGTTTGGTAGTGACGCAGCGTCTGTGACAGAAGCCAAGGCGGACCAAAGAGACTCTGGAGCATCGGGCCCTGCATCTGGGGAAGATACGGGAGCGAGAATCGAGCAAAGGGCTTCTGTAGCAGCAGGACCTGTGATCTCGATAGAGCCAATATCGAAGCGGAGATCTCGAACCGTGACAGCTGGCTTCTGCACTTTGGCCATCCTGACCACTTGATTCCAGAGTTGTAAGAAAGCGCTCGGGTGCACACGAACAAAGGCTTTCGTCTTGTTGCTGCCTGCATGCGGGGCACACCAGATAACAGTCACTTGAGCGATTTTCTTCAGCGGCTTGGCTTCTCTTTCGTATATCCAGCCTTCCCAAGCTCTGGTACCATTTCTCCACTTCCTGGCCCTGCCTCTGTTCTGCCACGGGTCCTCTGCACTGTCTACCGCAAAGTGCAGACCCTTGAGTAGCCCGGTTATACTAGCCTCAGGGCCCTCGAGACTGAGAGTTGACATGTAGCTTACATCCCACGCAACGGCTCCGCGCTGGGTTGCGGCTCTGTGTGTCAGACGATATGCCTTGACTGCTGGTTGCAGTGGGATTGCGAAGCGCCAGAGCGGCTCCTTTGGTTCTGTCATCTTTGCGCGCTTCGTATGCCATAGATGCGTGGGTAGCCATGTCTTGTCTCGCTGTCGTCTGCGGAATCGAGATGGAGGGGTAGCGGGCGTAGCTAAAGCAGGAAACTTGCGCTTCGGCTTTGGTGGTGGAGGCTTCGTGACTTGCTCCGGCGCATCCTCCATTGCTGCGTCCCCGTCATGGTCTTTCCCAGCTGCAGCGGTGTTGCCGTTGTTCCTCTTCTTGGCGACCTGCCTGCTGTTCTCCCTCCCCGCCTTCCTCAGATGCTTCTTCTTCCCTTTCCCAACACCGCTTCCGCTAGTGCCTCTTGAAATGGGTGTGTTGTCTTCTTTAGCCTCCTGTCGCGCCCTGACCCGCAGTCTCTTTGGTACGCGATGCGGATTATGGCTCGCCGTCCTCCTCCTCAACCCCCTCGGCACATCTTGAAAAGCTCGTCGCGACTGCCCCTTCTTGGCCGCCTTGATGGCGCCCTCGAGCGATTTGATCTCATTTTCGTGCGACTTGAGAAAGTTTTTGACGTTGATCTCGCCATTGGGGTACGCGTTGCTAGTCGGTATGGCGGGGATGACGTGCTGCGGCCTCTGTTGGAATCGGGTGCGTTTGACAGGATTGACAGGACCCGTGTTGCCTGGCGTCTGCTTCCTCTTTCTCGAAGTATCGGCCATGGTGGATCTGGAACAGGCGTCGCTATAGCATCAAAGCTATTCGAGCTCACTGGGCCAACGGTCGCTGCGACTGAATCTTTTAGCGAGACGGTCCCCACGCCGACGGGCTTAGCGCGGAGTCATTCGTCACGTCAGCACGTGTCTGGCCGAAGCACTGGCAGTCCCTACCAACACCGACTTGGACCCTTTGGTATTGGTCCAAACGTGCCAGGCCAGCAACGGCATTCTGTTTCATCCGCCAGGCCCCTAGCTCGTCTTTTGATTAATTACTCCATTCACAACATCTTCATTTCGCCATTTCGGCCAGGTGCTCCACCTTTCTGACCTCCCCTGTGATTGCATCGTCCCCCCTGCAGGAGTGCGCAGCCACCATGCTGCCCTGTCCTTGTGGTCCTGGACTGGTCCTGATCATTCAATGTTTTCCCACACCTTGTTACTACACAACAACAGCATCTTTTCTTTGAACACACGCACACACACAACGCATAGCCATTCTGACACTTACATCTACCTCTATTGTTACTGTACCGCATACACACACACACCTACTGCTAGTACATAATGATTCACACATACACAACCATGTCTCCCCCTTCTTATTCTTCCGATCAAATGTGCAAGATGAACTTCAGTCCACTGCGATCGCCCTCACCAAGAAAACGTTTCGCCGGCCACGAGCGAAACCAGTCAGAAGCCATCCAACGCCCACGACCCATCAGCGTAGCAAGCAACTCAGTCATGGTACAGCACGCAAAGAGAGCTTCAATATACGTCTCAGATGCTTCCATCTTGCTCCAACAACGCAATCCCATTGCCTCGCCCATGTCACCAACAGACTCGGGCATGGCCTCGCCAACCAGCGAGTCTGGAGAAGTCACGGATCACTACGCCATCCTCGAACTCACGCCCGAGGCCACCACGGACGAAATCAGAGCTGCGTACCGCCGTCTGCGCTCCGTCTACTTTGCCAATGACGCGAAAAAGTATCGAGCACTGCAGGCCGGCTTCGACTGTCTGATGGACCCGGAGGCACGCCAAGCTTACGATGCAACCTACCAGCCAGCAGCTCCAACTTCGCTCTCCAGCATTGACGAAATCTTGGACCAAGGAAAGCACTGGCGCAAGGACAGCGCTCATGGCGACGATCCAGCAGTCATCCCCGAAGAAGAGGAAGAGGAAGAGGAAGAGCAGCAAGTACGGACTGACGACCCTAATTGGGGCCTTAAACGGTTCCAGCCTATCCTTGAATCGGTGCTGGGCTCCGAACCATATTTCTCATACGTCCCTCTGCCTACGTATTCGCTGCCTGTGTGTAGGTCGCCCAAGTACGTTGGACAGTTTGCGGTGAAGGCGTGGCCCAACTAGACGGTCTCGTCTCATCGATATCTGGATTCAACCCACTCGACATGGCTCGAGTTCTTTACCATGTTCATATTCGTAGCAGAGCAGGTCTTGCATTTGGGCGGGTTTGCTTTGTGGCGTCTTGGGCGGTCTTTTGTTCCTCTGTCCACTTAGCGTTGTTTTTACCAAGCGGCGATTCACCACCATCTGCGATTTACCCTTGTCTTGTTATATACCTAAAGTCCCAACTTTACTGCAAATTGGCCACACTCACTATACCTACTCGGATATCGAGCAACATTGAATGATAATGTATGACACACATGACACTTGTCAGATTTCGAGCGTGCCTGTGCCAAAGTTTGTATACATCACGAAATTCAGCATGGAATGGCAACTAAATGAACCAGAGTCGCATTGCTGATATCGATCGCTATGATACAGGGCTCCAAGTTGCGAACGCCACTCTGATCCAATCGTCTCCAGCTCTAAGAAATTGTCGCATGCTAATTGTCGCCATGGCGAAATATTTACTGGTCGAGCTTTACGGGGAAGTTGCCAGCCTCTGTTCACAAATCAGCAACTATATTCATCTTGGACGCCTCGACTGCATGCGCAATGGGCTTGGGAGGAAACACTCACCACGCTGGTCGTCCCATCGCGATGTCCAGCCGCTGGGGCACAGGGACTTGTAGGCCAACATGAACTATATCCATCAGTACACAGGTCCGTGTCTCATTCGGCTTCTGCGGAGTCGCGCACCTGGCGGCAGGGAGCAAAGTCCTCGCCCTTGGCGATGATGCACTTGTGGTAGTCGACGTAGTTTTGCCAGCAGTGCTTGGTCTGGTTCTGGTTGGGGAAGCGGGCATCGAAGCCTGTGTGCGCCGAAGCTTTGTTAGCAGGCCATATCGCATATCTGGAGCTGTGGAAGCTATTTTGGCAGGCGGTGCAGGCAGGCGTGCGAGTCCGGGGGTGGCGTACCAGCTGTGCGGTGGGAGATTAGCTATCAATTCGAGAGACTGCGGAGTAGCGGGAAAAGCTCACCAGTAACAAACTTGAAGGGCTTGGTTACGAGCTCGTCGCCGTTCTCGCTGTCAGACATGGTTGCGATGGGGGTGGTTGGAGTTTGTCGAGGGGGAGGGTGGCGGCAATGGCTGGGCTTGGTGTGGTCGTCAAAGTGGTGACGGAAGTGAAGTTGTGAGGTTGCGATGGTTCGACCCGAAACGCATTGTCCACACACAATTCGCTCGGCGTTTTCCGGGCGAACCAGGGCTGCGAGCTCTCTCAGCATCTGCGTGCCTGTGACGAAACAGCCATTATCGATCCCCCAACGACGACGCCAACCCTCCACTCTCCACTCCAATTAATAACACACAAACACCGCCAACATGTTCAAAGCTACCAGGGCCCTGTCTATGCGGCCGACACGCATGATGGCCATGCAGCCTACGCGCATGGCTGCCATGCGCCCGAGCCCCCAGCTCTTCATGAGGCAGACGATGCGCATGCGCAACCCTGTGCCTGTATGAAATGCCACATCTCACTGTGACTCGGGAATTGATGCTGACAACATGACAGAAGGAGGAGCACGGCGGTAAGCCAACCACAGCCGCCGCATATCGCCATCCAACATGAATTGACGACGTACAGCCCACACCGTATCCCAGCGTATCCGCCAGCTCAAGAACATCCCCACTGAGATTTGGCCTCTGAGTACGTTTTATCCCCTCCCCCCTCTACGCTCCCTTTCGAGCCTCTTGCTAACCCCAACATCTAGTCATCGTTCTCGGGTAAGCCCCTCCATTCCGCTCCGAATACTCTAACGCAGGTGGTCTGATACATTCGCAGCGTCGCCGTCGGCATGGCCTTCTTCTCCATCACCCGGAAACTCTGGGTCGACAAGACCCTCCGCCTCAAGCGACAGGGCAAGCAGGAGTAGGTGCCTGGGCTTGCAAGGAACCGGATACAATAAAGATGGAATCGGCGGGCTTGGAAGGGCTCCAGCAGCCATGTGTATAGGTACAGCATACGGGACAGAGTCCTCGTCAAGTTCAAAATCAAGCATAAGATTCATTGCGAGTTGCGTCTAGACGTGCAAAAGGAAGTCATCGAGTGCAATGGCGAGATCATCAAGGACTTTGAATCTTAGCAAGTGCGGCAGAATGTGGCACGATTCCTGAAACCGTGCTTGTGATATGCTGTATTCATACCTTCTCCTAGAGGAGAAAAAACTTTGTGTAACAGAACATGGTATCAGATACATTTTTCCAACGCCTGCAAACGCCAAAGAAGGACTGAGATTAGACTGGCTTCGGTCCTGCCTCGTCAAGACCTTCCAAGCCCTGCATAGGGTCCATAGGCCCATTGGCCTCGTCTTGGATCTGTTCACTAGCTTTGCGATCCTCTTCACTCACAGCATGCTTGGCCAACCAGCCCTCCTGCATTTTGTTAGCATAAAAAGTCGCACATGTACAGCAACATGTTACACACCTGCTCCCAGATGGCTGTTTTGCTGCCTAGTCCTTCGTTTGCGTCTTTCTGTGGTTTGGCTGCGGCTACCTTGATAACGGAGCCGTACAGCTCGCTCCGGTCCATGTTGTCAATAGCGTCCGTCGCGTCGGTTGCAGTCTCAAACTCGACATAGCCGAATCCCCGATGTTGATCGCCCTGGCTCTGGTTTTCCGGTTTGGGCAAGTTGACTTCAACAATGTCGCCAAATGGCAGGAAGGCATGGAAGAGCGTCTGCTGAGTGACTGCTTGGTCGAGGCCGCCGACGAAGACGGTAGCCTTTAGTCGTGACGTGTCTGATAGATTCGACATGGCTGGCTGTGGGTGCGAATTCGGAAATGGCTTGTCGATGGTCGCGTTGTCGAGATTCGGAGCTGAAATTCGATATCACGTGGCTAGCGGGACCCACAGTTGGCCGCGCCCGCCATGGACCAGGGAAGGACAGGTGGATGCTCCGTTGATGGTGAAGCACGTCGTCGCCTTGCTTGCATTCCGCGCTCAAGACACATTGCGGACACTCCTTACTCTTTTGCACAACGCATACCTCTCTTCTCACTCCCCAGATCCCCTCACTTGTCCCTTATTTTGTTCGTGTCTTATTCCCCAATTCGCTAATCTGACACCGAGGCGCCATCACCGCCCAACACCGTCATGGTCCGCCTACGAGAAATCCCCAGGACGGCCTGTTTCGCCTGGTCGCCAGGCCCCACGCAGCCTCTTGTTGCCACTGGAACCAAGGCCGGGGCTGTGGACGCCGACTTTTCAAATGAAACACAATTGGAGCTCTGGGAGCTCAAGTTGGACGACGCCGAGCAGGGCGTGGAGCTCAAGCCCGTTGCTACCGTGAGCGTCGAGTCGAGGTACCAATCAATAGTCCAAGCCCATATGGCGGTGTTATGTAACTAAGCAAACATGGCAGGTTCAACGACATTGCATGGAGTCAACCCAGTGAACAGTACCCGCGGGGCATAATAGCGGGTGCGCTCGACAGCGGGGCACTAGTCCTATGGGACGCAGAGAAGCTGCAGGCAGGCGAGGGTGAGGATGCGGAGATTGACCAGATCGACAAGCACACGGGTCCCATCCAGGCGATACAGTTCAACCCCTTCCGATCCAACATCCTCGCCTCGGCCGGTGCCAAGGGCGAGCTCTACGTCCACGACCTCGCCGACGACTCCAAGTCGTTCCGCCTAGGCAAGGCTGGAGCGAACCCCGACGAGTACACTACATTAGACTGGAACAAGAAGGTTGCGCACATTCTGGCCACCGGCAGCAGTGGCGGCTTCGTCACCGTCTGGGACGTCAAGCTGAAGAAGGAGAACCTCACATTGAACCACTATGGACGGAAAACAGTCAGCGCCGTGTCGTGGGACCCCAACGTGCCCACACGACTAGTCACCGCCATCCCGACGGACCAGAATCCGCTCGTGCTGGTATGGGACCTCCGCAACACCAATGCGCCAGAGAAGACGCTACAGGCACACGACCAGGGTGTACTGTCGCTTTCGTGGTGTGTGCAAGACAGCGACCTCTTGCTATCTTGCGGCAAGGACAACAGGACCATTGCCTGGAACCCGCACACCGGAGAGCAGCTGGGCGAATTCCCAGTTGTCACAAACTGGACCTTCCAGACTAGATTCAACCCCGCGAACCCGAACCTCCTCGCTACCGCATCTTTCGACGGCAAGATTGCTGTTCAGACGCTACAAAACACTGGCGCTGCAACGGACCAGAGCAAGGCGGCGACTGAAGCCCCTGCAGGCGAGGACTTCTTCGCTCAGACACACGCAGAGCCCCAGGGCGCATCCTTCTCTCTAAAGACACCCCCGAAATGGCTGAAGAGGAGAGCGGGTGTCGCCTTTGGCTTTGGCGGAAAACTGGTGCGGTTCGGCATCGTTGATAACAAGTCCAAGATCTCCATCGAGACATTCGCAGTAGATTCAGACGTCAGCGCTGCAAGTGAGGAGTTCGACAAGGCTCTGGACAAGGGCGATCTCACAGCGATCTGCGAGTCGAAGATTTCGAAGGCTGCCAATGAGGAAGAGAAGGCCGACTGGACCGTGATCGAGACCCTCACATCAGAAAACCCACGAAGCAAGCTTGTCGAATACCTTGGCTTTTCTGACAAACAGGAGGAGCTGGAAGAAGAAGAAGAGAAGAAGGAAGAGAAGACAAACGGCGATGCGGACGAAGGCTCCTCGTTCTTCGATAATGCGACTGATGAGGGCAACTTCCTCTCGGATCTCGCAGCTTCCAAGGGCGCCAAGACCAACAATCCCTTCCAGATTTATACCGGCTCCGAGTCTGAAGCAGACACTAAGATCACTCGCAACCTCATGCTAGGTGACTTCAACGCGGCATTGGATGTATGTCTAAAGGAAAACCGATTGTCGGATGCTTTCATGATTGCCATTTGCGGTGGAGAGAAGTGCATCGCCAAGGCACAGGCTGCATACTTCAAAAGGCAATCTGACGCACCAAACTACCTACGACTTCTTGCGTCGGTCGTCGGAAAGAACTTGTGGGACTTTGTATACAATGCTGATCTGAAAGACTGGAAGGAAGTCATGGCAACAATCTGCACATTTGCCGATCAAGCCGATTTCCCCGACCTTTGCGAGGCTCTCGGAGATCGTCTCGAAGAAGCCATCTCTGAAGAGTCAGGATCGTACCGAAAAGATGCGTCTTTCTGCTACTTGGCTGGTTCCAAGCTTGAGAAGGTCGTCGTCAACTGGGCCCAGGAGCTTCAAGAGAGCGAGAAGGCGGGCATTGAGCAAACTGATGGTGACAACAGTTTCTCAATCCACGCGCGATCACTCCAGGAGTTCATCGAGAAGGTCACAGTGTTCCGAAAGGTCACCGACTTCAAGGACACCGAACAGCAAAAAGAGGACGACTGGAAGCTCGAGCCTTTGTACGCAAAGTACGTCGAGTATGCTGACATTGCTTCTGCCCACGGCCAGCTCGCTATTGCAGAGAAGTATCTAGATCTTCTGCCTCAAAAGTACCCAGCAGCAGATGTAGCGAGGAACCGGATCAAGCAAGCCACCAGAAAGGTTGCAGCCCAGCCAGCGACAGCCCACAAGCAGGCCCAGTCTACTAGCACTGGTCGTCGTCAAGTCGTAGTCCCTTCATATGGTCAACCTGCACAAGCAATACCAGCACCGCCCCAGCAGACCCCGTACGCTCCAGTCAACCCTATGCAAACGCAGCCAAGGGCGTCGCCTTATGCTCCAGTCAACCCTCTCTCGTCACAAGCTCAGGCCACTGCACCATCAACATTCACACCAGCAGCAGCGTCCGGCAATGCGTACACGCCAGCCGGCTACCAGCCATCTCAACCTCAGGGCTATGGTGGTTACGGTCAGGCTACCCAACAACCAATTGCACCTCCGCCACGCAATTTCTCCAACTCTCCATCTATTGTGCCAGCAGCCAACAGGGGTAGCATTCCCGCCTGGAATGACACACCAGACTTTGGCCCCCCTAAGCCAGCTTCGCGTCGTGGTACTCCCATGAACACTGTTGCTTCTCCGTTCCCGAACCAGCAGCAGCCCCTCGCAGGTCCGCCTCAAGGCCCGTTCTCGCCAGGAGCACGATCAACACCTCCACCTCCTCCAAAGGGCCCGCCTCAAGGCCCTCCTCGTATGACTTCTCCACCAGCTGGACCTCCAACTGGCGCCCCAAACCCCTACGCACCAACTCCGGCAACAAACAACTACGCTGCACCACCCGCAGGCTTTGCACCCCCACAACAGGCGCCACTACAACGTGGAGCGTCGCCATACCAACCCCCAACTGCTGCCGCTCCGCCATCGAATCGCTATGCTCCTGCTCCAGGTCAGCAACCATCAGCCCCATCTGGGCCTATGGGTGCAATGCCACCACCGCGTAATATTGCGCCTCCTCCAGGCCAATTTACACCCGCTGGCTCACCTTACGCACCATCGCCGGCGCAACAAATGCCACCGGCTGCCGCAGCACCGCCACCACCAAGGGGGCCACCGCAAGGACCTCCGCGGGCAGGCCCTCCTCCCGGAGGTCTTCAAGGCGGACCACCAAGACCAGATTCTCGACCCGGTACTGGTCAATCACAAGCGGCTCCCCCGGCAGCAGCCAAGTATCGTAAGTGATCCATCAGGTATCGCGTGGATTGGCTGGAACTAACTTACATACAGCCCCCGGTGACCGATCGCACATTCCCGACGCATCTCGTCTCATCTACGAGATCCTTGATGCCGACCTACAACGGGTCAAGGCGAGGGCACCAGCACAGTACAAGCAGCACGTTGCAGATACCGAGAAGCGCCTCAACATCCTGTTTGACCACCTTAACAACGAGGATCTGCTCAAGCCCGATACTATCCAGAGCATGAACGAACTCGCGGCTAACATCCAGGCCAAGCAGTATGATGCTGCGGTCGCAATATTTTCGGATTTGATGACCAATAAGACGGATGAGGGTAGCAACTGGATGGTAAGTCTTACTTGAAAGCGTGTGAGACGAATGGAAGGCTAATGTTTGATGCAGGTTGGCGTCAAGCGCTTGATTCAGTTTAGCAAGTCGACTGCTTAGAAAGTGAGTGCTGCTGCGACTAAGAACGTGCTGGCCAGTGTTCCCGAAGATTACGTTGTGGTGTACAAGTAGAGAGTTTGAAGGTGGTAAACAAAAAGGCTGCGTTCAAGGCAGGATTCTCGCCCCCGTATTTAGCGTTTTTGCATGTCATTAGAGAAAATGAGAGATATGCTGAATGATTGATCGATTGATTCGACTAATGAGCATCTTTCTCGTTGTGTATTGCACGTGGATGCCTCCTGTGTGGTAAGGTGCGCTTTCTATCTTGACGTGACATAACATTTTCATCTAGGTTTCCCTTGCGCATGGCCATATTGTGAGGAATGTTGCACTTTCTTCACTGGATGTCATGCGCGGATGCCTCCGAATGAGTGATGTACCTTCTATACCCACATCCAGCCTCTACTTTCATCTAGGTCGCCCTTGTCATATCTTGTCTGCGCTGTGTGCATAGAGTCGCAAACACGCGATACCATTTGCTATTCTGAAAGATCATACATTAAGAATAGAAAGGGCACCGTACTATAGTTTTTTAGAGGAGACGAACAGAAAACTAAAGCTACAGGTACAGCATATATAGTCGCCACAAGATTTCAACACTCCAAAACACGACTAAACACGTACTCGAAGAAAACGCTATCCGCGAAGTATCCGAGCACGAACCACTAGATGAGGAAACGGTGGCGGCGTAGAGTAAAGGAATTTGAGCATTTCAGAGATAGAGAGGCAAAGAAGGCTGGACAGAGAGGATAGAGCAGAATAGTGTGTTCGATTTGGTTACTAAAGTTAACGACGATCCGCTCGTGTTGATGGCACGAATAAAGTGAACGACACGACTATCGCTTCATCGCCCCCTTTCTCCTCCGTGTTTCGATAGCGTATCTAGAGCGAACGACACAACTACACCTTCTTCTCCTTCTCTTTTCTCTGCAGCAGTAAATGATACTCCTATGCAAGCGGCTGCTACAGAGAAACTGAGGCACAACCTGGGGCGAAGATGGAGGAGTCGACGGAGAGGAGGACGGGGAAAGGATCGGAACGGGGGTAAGGGTCAAGATGATGAGAGTTGAGAGTACTAAGATAGTGGCATTCGATTAGCATGTTGAGGTACGCGTGATGAATACATGTAGAGTTCTTCTCTCTGGATCTCATTCCAGAGACTGTCGACATAGTCCAGAAACCACCCCCATTTTTTTTTTTTACAACCTTCTGCAGTGTGTGCACAATCCAATCCAAAGTAGTGGCTTTATCTGAGTTACACATCTCTTCTTCCTTGGAGTTTACTTGGACTTTGGGGTATCTACTGCGGGAAGAACGTAAACAGGCCAGAGGTTTCCAAGGTTCTCCCGCGAATCGATCGCGTGTTGTTAGAAGGCATGAGATAAGCAGACTCGGATACAACATTCGCGCTGCTGTCTAGCCAATTTGAACGTATCTAGAGATTGCTGGATTCAAGGATTGCTGAATGCCATCAATTTGGTCTTTTGACAGGTTTATCGTCTGTGTTTCAGAGCCAACCTGAGAGAGACTGCGCGAGGATGGTCAGACAGTGAGACGAGAAATGAATGTGGATGTCTCGATGACGTCGCTACCTAGATCGTGAGATGCTCAGCCCAGCAGTGGGCCTTGTGCTTCAGGGGATCTTTGCACAAATAACAATTGTGTATATGCACCGTCCTGACCTGCTTTCTTAGCCATAAACCGACCAAACACGATTGTTGAGCTACGCTACGTCTAGATTTATGGTGAGTACCTCTTTCCACAAGCTCATGCACAAATGCAGTTGTGTTCGTGATGGCTTTGTAGATGCGGAAGACGGAACATGGTTCGAGATCGGGTGGATTCGCTAATCTTAGCCGATCGGGTCAAAGCCGATCTCAAGCAACACCAGGCGTCATAACATCAAACTTCAATGTGATGACGTAGGCGCGAGCTCGACGCGTTATCCACCCAATATGGCCTTGGAGGCACGGATCGCAAGTTTCAGCCTCCTCCTTTCAATAATCTTGCTGTTCTTCTACGGCGCCATCACCTGAGTCTTGGACGCATGTTACGTTCCCTTTACTGCATCCGCTCTCGTGTCGCATTCAAAACACCACTCCGAGCGACGGCGTCTGTACAGAACTCTCACATAATATCTCTTCTCCCAATCATGCCCCCCAAGCGAAAAAGGTCTGCTGCTGCAGTAGCAGCGGTTGCTACAACAGAAGAGACGCCTCTTGTGGATCGATCACAGATGCGCCGAACAGATGTGCCTTTGCCTACAAACGTCGCGAAGCCACCACGCCGCCAAACGACGCGTGGGGGAAAGACTGAAAAGACGGATCCTAATCTCAACCCTGACATTGTCGATGGTGTCACCGCATTACGGGCATCGCCTGACGCAGAAGAAGGCGCAGATGCTGTTCTGGAATCTGCCGTGAGCAACGGTATTGCGACTGAGGCCGATACTGCACCAGATGCAACTACGAAAGACAATGCGCTTCCACCACCTGCCACAACCGGTGATGCGCCCGTAGCAAATGGCGCCCCTGCAGCGAACGCTGCAAAGAACAAGCGAAAGAAGGCCAGCGCGCAGCAAATCAAAGTGGAAGAGGATGACACCAACACAAGCGCCGTAAATAGTGTTGCTGCAAAGACCACGGCTCCTGCAGCCAACACCAGGATATCTGGCGATCCCGACGACGTTGATAACCTAGAGGCTGAAGACGAGGATGAGGCAGAGGTCAAGGAAGCCCTGTCAAGACCCCCACCGGTCAATTCTGAATACCTTCCTCTTCCATGGAAAGGACGGCTTGGCTACGTATGCGTCCTGCAGGTACTTTTTAATCTAAACTAACGAACGTGCATACAGGCCTGTCTCAATACGTACCTCCGTAGTGCTACCCCTCCCGTCTTCAGCTCGAGAACCTGTCGTATCGCGAGCATCATCGAACATCGCCATCCCCTGAAGGACCCCTCACAGCCCGAGCATGCCACTAAAAACCGCCCCGATAAGGAACAACCAGCGGATGTCGCGCGAGGAATGAAATATGTGGAAGAGATAGGCCTTGCTAATGCGCGGGATATTATCAAAATGGTGCGCTGGAACGACAAGTACGGCATCAAGTTCATGCGCCTGAGTAGCGAGATGTTTCCATTCGCAAGCCATGACGAGTATGGCTACAAGCTTGAGCCTTTTGCTGGCAAAACATTGCGTGAAGTAGGCAAAGTGATCGGTGAGTTGGGTCATCGAGTGACTACCCATCCAGGACAATTCACTCAGCTGGGATCGCCGCGAAAGCAAGTCATCGACAACGCAGTGCGCGATCTGGAGTACCATGACGAGATGCTTTCTCTGTTAAAGCTTCCAGAGCAGCAGAATCGCGATGCCGTCATGATTCTACATCTCGGTGGTGCATATGGCGACAAGCCGGCGGCCATTGAAAGGTTCAAGGAGAATTATGCAAAGCTTCCCCAGAGCGTCAAGAATCGTCTGGTGCTCGAGAACGACGATGTTGTGTGGTCAGTACACGAGCTGTTGCCTCTATGTGAGGAGCTCAACATCCCATTCGTGCTCGACTACCACCATCACAACATCATCTTCGATGCAGATCAAATCCGTGAAGGTACCAAAGACATCATGGAACTCTACCCACGAATTCTCGCGACATGGGAGAAAAAGGGAATCACACCTAAGATGCATTACTCTGAACCGACACCTGCTGCGATCACTAAGACAACGCGGAGAAAGCATTCACCTCGTGTCATGACATTCCCTCCTTGCCCTGATACCATGGACTTGATGATCGAGGCAAAGGACAAGGAGCAGGCCGTATTTGAGCTTATGCGTACTTTCAAGCTTCCGGGCTTTCATACTTTCAACGACATCCTGCCACATACACGTCAAGATGAGAACAGGCCATGGAAGCCCAAGCCTAAGAAAGCTGTAAAGAAGAGTAAGAAGAAGAAGACTGACGAATTGGACGAGCTGGATGCGAAGCTAGAAGAGGAAGAGCCAGAGGACGTGCCCCCGCCTATCGTACCTGACGAGGAAGTGGGCATGGGAGGGCCAGAGGGAAGAGTGTACTGGCCTCCAGGTATGGAGGACTGGCTCAGACCCCCAAAACGCATCGTCAAGAAGAAAGAAGACGGCGCTGCTACGCCAGCGAAGAAGAAGCGCAAGACCGCCGCTGACGCGGCGTCTGTAGCAAGTGAAGCTGCTCCACTTGAGGATGTCAAGACGCCCATCAAAACACCAGCCAAGAAGGCGGCACCGGCTAAGCGAGGAGCAGCAAGTTCGACTAAGAAGAAGGCAGCAGTCAAGTCCGTGCCAACACCTTCGGCTTCCGATGAAGAGGAAGATCAGCTTAGCTCACCCCCACTTAGCGATGTAGGGAGCGAGGACGAGGCTCCTGTTGTGCAGAAGCGAAATGCACGGCCTGCTGCGACACGGAAGAAGTCTGGAAGGGCTACGGCCCAGGTTAGCTACAAGGAAGAAGCAGACGAAATGAGCATGTAGACAAGTGCAATCCCATGGTCATCGGTAGCCATGGTGCAGCTAGTCGTAATATCAATCCCAATGTAAACGAATACGTGAATTCGGTCCTTCGGACATGAAAATAGCGACATTGAAAGCATGATTCACATCATCTCGGTTGTAGGAGAGGTTGAGTAAAGACAAAACAATGCTCCGAGCCTGCTAGATCCTTCCCTTCCCGCTTCAGGCCGTTATCCCGTCCCATTCCTTCCCGGCCTTGTCCCTTCCGTCTTTTACTGAAACTCGTATTCAACGTCTTCTCAGAGTTCATGCGTTCTCCACATTGACGTAGCTCACAATTTGCTGTTCGCGCTTACCTATCTATTCACCTTCCCAGTCCAGCTGTGTGGCCGAAACGCTGTATGAACATGCGTTCGTTGGGGGCAAGGACGCATAAACGTGCACTATGTGGACCTTAAGATTCGCTAGGCCTAGGGGAGAAAAGAGAGGATTGGAAAACGAACAAAAGCAAGGTGGAACAATTGGGCCAGCCAGGCTTAGCCCAGCCACCTCCATGGTCGTATAACCCCCCCTTCACCATAACACCTCTCCCCCCAATACATGGCGTTAAACAACGTAGATAGATACGTTGTTGCACCGGCATGAGACTTCCAGAACTTTATCGAAGCACGGCCCGTTACTTTGCCGCACTAACCGATGGATGCCGAGGCATTCCGCACATCTTCTTAGCACCTTCCATTGCATGTCCCACGGCCGGAAGGGGGATAGAGCTCAACCTTGTGTAAGCGTGTAAGATGTGACTGCCTTGTTGTCAGAATAGTAGTGCGGGAGAGGTGTCGTGAGGGTGTGGTTGGGAAAGCAGGCACAATCACATTGCATGTATGCATCGATAGCTTAATCGATAGCTTCACATGCATGGTGTCATGCAGGTCAGCGTTACTGTGAGAGTGTCGACTGGTTCTAGCTGGCTTAGCTGGCCGTGGGGAGATGCAGATGCAGGACCACGTCGGAGGACATGGGCAGGAAAAGGGTAAGAGGGTGTGAGTTAGTGCGAACATCAGAGGATAGCCTGGAAAGTTACTTTGAGGGGTATGGTCGTGGTGGGGGGAGGATCTGGTGTCTTCAGTTTCAGGTACGCGTCGCGTAATGGAGAGTGTGTGGGTTGTGTATTCCTGCGCTGTAGAGAAGAGGCATGATTTACCAAGACCGTTATCTGTGGATGTTTTGTAGGAGTCGACATGTCCGTATTCTTGATTGCATATGTGTCCATCTCCTCTTTGCTCCACTGCGATAAAGTGTATTGCACGATCTTTCGCAGGTAAGTGATCCCACCAATCGCTGTTCGTACGTGTGTATCGTCGATGGCCCGACTGTTCCCTTGCACGTCCTTCTGATTTCTCAACACCAAGAACTGCGATCTAGAATACTCTCTCTAGTGTCTGTCGATCAACCATTGTCGACCATGACTCGATTCTAGGCCGTGTCTATCGCTTCTCTTTCTCTCTTGCCTACTGCCAATCAACCCCAGTCACCTTGTAGCTATCCGCAATCGGTTAACTTCCCGCGGCTACATATCTGCAGGTCTATCTGCACAGCCTTGCACAGATAGAGGTTCATGCCCGTACCATGTCCATGGACTCTTGAATCGAACATTCGGTGCACTAGTGCATGTATTTTTGCATTGACGATGCGCGTTATGGTAACGAGGGGCTGGTAGCCTATCCCAAGTCGTGGCTGAGAACAGAGCAGGGAAGTTGGTTATACTGTTCGGCTGCTATGCGGAATAGCATTGCGCCGGTGGTCCGTCCTCAGACCGTACCGCCATGGCTGGAATTGAGGACCAGGTGGAGACTCTTTTCTGTACGTTTGGTCAGCGGTAGGCGGTGTGGCGTGCTTGTTTGTTCAACTGCAGCTCAGCGAATGAGGTTTTTGGCGGTTAAGGCGCTGCAAGAAGATTGTTTCCCGAGGAAGAATCTATGAACGGTTCATGTCAGTAGATCATAGCCTGTGTTGAATAACCGAGCCGTCTCGCGTCGAGCTCTGATCTTTGGCACTACCACTACACAATGCGCGATTCCCAAATCTCCGTTTTCAATCTTCAACTTCTAGCCTTATCAACCATGAACTTGAATTAACACAAGAGGTCGTACGACGCATTGTCCATACGCTCAGACCCCCAAGGGCCCACATGCGATAAGAACACGAAGACTGTGCTTGAGATGGAGAAATGGAGAACGGGACAAAGGCCGAGCTTGTGAATATCTACGCGAGAGGCCTGAGCTCAGAGAGAAAAAATCGTCAAGCGCCCGTCATCCGTCCGTGCAAGTATGCAAGACACGCAAAAAGAAGTTCCAAGGATCCCTCGGCATCCTGATGCATGTGCGTAGTTGAGAGCGCATAGGCTATGCGGTCCGGAAGTGTTGGATCGCGATGACGGGTGCTGTGATGTAGGAGGCTAGAGGATTGTGGTTGTGCCGAATGATGAAGACTGATAGTAAGGCAGCCATCTCAGGAAGAAGATTGCAAGGCCAATTGAGAAGACGGTTGGAAGCTAGAATCACTGCGATATGCTGACCATCGTGGGATTCCGTTTTCTGAGAAGAAAGTGCTACACCTGGAAAAAGCCCAAGATCTGTGTTCGGTTCATTACTTACTATGACGTTATAGCTGTTGAATGATGTTGAAGTCCCATCATAGTCATTGCGCGTGGCAGACATGCGCAAGGAATATCAGTTTCATTGTTACAAATTCGTTTTCAGTTTGCTGATTGTCTCTCAAGGCTAAGAGAGCGTCCAGATGGTTGCGCGGATGCGACAGGTGAACGTAAGCAAGTACCGAGAGCTCCGGCTTCCACAGGACCACCACATATAGTTGTTCTTCAAGTTTCTATAGAACTCTTCTCTACTGGTGTACCATAGACATCAATACCAAGAACCTACTGCACCACCGATGTAACCAAAGAGCAAGCGCATATGTCTGTCTCAAACCAGCAGACAACGGAAGTGCCGGCCACGGGAACGCGTCAACAACAACTACTCAACGCGCCTTCACGACATCTGCTTTTTTCTTCCTCAGCCACAACGTCACCATTCCAAACTATTGCCCAATCTTTTTTTTTCCTCTCCGGCTTTGCATGGCTCAACGCGGCACATACCCTCTAGGAACTTCTTTCGGCCCTTTAGTGATCGATTGTAATGGCCCGCTCCGCGATCGTCCTCCTGCGCCTCACGCGAGCTACACACAGCGTACATCTAGCATGACACCATCACGCTCTATTGTCGTGGAGATGAAGGGTCAACGCTTCGAGCGGCATGACGAAACAAAGCGTACGCCTCCTCCGCAAGTGTCGGCTATCTTACTCCGCAAAAGTTACGTACAAAATTGTTTCCCCAGATTATCACATGCAAGACATAGCTCCGTCAAACTACGGCGCGGTCACGGCGTCCGTCAGACAACGAAATTTCCAAGCCGCCATTCCAGCCGGCTCTCTTGTTAGAAAATAGCCGATGACCCAATTAGGCATTACGCCCGGCTCGAGTTGGAGCTCGGGTGAAGCGCCCGAACGGCGTGGAAGTGTGACGAGATGAGCGGTTCCTGCGTATCCTAGTATTAGCACATCAAACGAACGAAACGCATTGGCATGGCGTTTTCAGTCTTGGTATCCTAGGGGACCCGTCCGCGTAGGTTTGGTTGTTACAAGTTACAAGTTACTGTACTAACAATAGGGGGCAATGCGATACCACAGGCTCTCGGTGAATCCGAAATGATTGCACAGTACCTATACACCGGGTGATACATACCGCGGTATTCCCGAATGCGACGTTGGAGAGACCCGAGTCACGTTGCCATGTGCAATTGGATATCCATAGCACTGGGAATATTGTTACTTTTCTAATCGCAGCTATTCCTAGCGCTAAACTTTTCGGCTTCACTGCGTTATCTTCTTGGCTTGTTCTGCTTCGCTGACTTGCTGCCTTCTTGCTACCAATACACCGTACTATAGTAGTCGAGTTGCGTGGTTCCGAGGAGCCAAAAGGACATGCACGCACGGAAATTTGAAGGGTTAGCGCAAGTACACAGGCAATGCGATACAAAGAGCACCTGGGCATCGAGAGGGGCAGAAGCGTGGGGTAGATAGAAACGGAGTAAGTCGTATCGCAAAACTCCCGTTCTGCTCTGCGCATGAATCAAGAGTCCTAAAGTAGCTTGAATGTCTGACTGGCAAGGCGCCCAACCGGCTGCTCTCCGCTTCTGTTCGTATCGTGAACATCCCCCACCGGCTACTACTCGTGTCCCTCCAACGATTCCCCCCGCAAAGCTGGCAAAGAAGCAATGCACCTCTGACGTTGTTGTATTGCGATGCACGAGCAGTGACGTGTGCGACCCGAGTACGTAGGTCAGACTTGCTTTACATGAAAGAAAAGAACAAAAGCCTGAGGTATACATGAGCTGAGCTGTCAGCATGAGTACACGTTGTACCTGGCAGATGATCACCGCAGATCCCCGTTCGGACAAGCAGTGGCAGGGCAAGCTGAGCCGGAACGAGCGAGACCCCTCTCAACCACTCAACTATGCGGTACGTACCCCAACCAACACCTGCATACACGGCATCAGCGCATCGGCGTCGCCTTCATCGTGATCTCAACCCTTCGCTTTCAAAAGCATTCTCTCATGTTCAAGAGGCACAACAGCTTTGACAGGTATACCCCTTCATCTCATTGCGACATTCAGCGGCGGCGTCTCCGAACCCTTCCTTTTGCCCCGCGCAGCCGTCAAACGTCAGCACCTTAACGCCGCCATAACCGCCTCTTGCGCGCCATGGCCGCTCGTCTTTCGCCATCGCTGTGAAACCCTGACCTGGCACTTTTTGTTGCTCCAGGTAGTCTTGTCTTGTGTTCGTGGTCGTGGTTCGTGGGTTCGGCATCAGCTGGTACAAGCTTGAGCCTTGTGAGATCGGGTCAGCTTATCACCTTAATCGAACGTTTGCTGTCGCTGCTGTCGTCTGACTGGACGAGCGTGTA